GTAAAGAGCGTAACGCGATGCATGGGCCCAAGCCGCGTCATGTGGATGCGACCACTGATAAAACGCTGATATTAGGGCGCGGCGGCATGCGATGGTGTGCGGTGGTGCGGTCGTCGCGTCGCAGAGCGTCCATCACTCGCCCGCGCGGCAGCGACGCGCAGCATTACTCCTCTCGCGGACGTGATGCTATTAATTTTTAGTCTAATTCTGTCTCTATATAAAAGTTTTATTATAATACTAACGACCCGCCCCTGACTCACATAATTTATGTTTATTTTTTTATAATAAAATACAGCACATGTTACTCACTGATACTGTGGCTTTTATAGGTGAAATAATTTTTATAATCAGTTTTCCGAGACGCATTACACACAACAAATCTCATAAATCTTCATTTCCTCCTTATAATATTATTTTTAATACCTGAACTTAAGCCAGTTATTTTTTTTTTATACTATAAATTTTTTGGTATCATTCAAATGTACTTACAATACAAAAATAACATAGTTGAATTGTTATCTTAATAAAAACATAAACACGCCCCATTTTCCTTTCCCCATACAAACTGTTCTTAGATGCCAATTCAAACAATTCAATCTCCGAAACCGCTCTATCAATTTTAATGAAATTTTGTGAACGTGTGTTGTTTGATCCAATTTGAGAGACAGGGTAGTTTTTCCGTTCAGTAATTATAGATCCGGTAGCTACCAATAGGAGGCAAAACAACGTTTGCCAGGTCTGCTCAGCTAGAAAGCATTCGCCATAAGGTAAACTGTCAATTCTACGCCCATAATCAAATCAATCATCTAACACTATAGATGTTATTTGGTCGTTGCCAATCCTTATAACAGCAAAATCTTGAGTTACAGTAAATTTTTATAAGTAAAAATGAAATAACGCATCTATGTATGTCAGTGGTATCCAATGGAGTCAAAGATAAAATTATGAGGATGTAATCAGACTCAAAACCAAGGATCAATCCGTCGGTGTGTGCAAATTGGTCTGACTACATCCTCATAGGTGATACACGATAGTTTCACAGAAGATCGCATGGAATTCGACCTAACAACGTATATTACTAGTAAAGATATTCTAATCCTCGTCACTGATAATCCTCTTCCATTCAGAATGACAGTAAATACCTAGGCATTAGGTAATTTTAATGTCGTAATTCATCCTTCAAACCAAAACATAGCATGCAAGTAAGCTGCTTAGCAAACGAGTATATGACAAAGTACTCATGCATACAACTACGTATAAATAGAGCATATTACCTCTTATAATCGAAAACAATGTTGCAATTAGTTTATCTTAGAGATGCGCTAATAATTAATTATTCGAAATCAACATGCTTCGCTACATCTGTCTACATGTAGCAAGATGACAGTGAAAAACGTGTAATGCTCTATAGTGTACCTTACCTCCATGTATGTGAATGAAACATAAAAATATTTTCAAAAATAGTCATATAATTGCAAAACTTACGTTTAAGAGATCTTGGTTTCGCTTGTTTCCTTCGAGACATCCTTGCAACTGCATGAATTAACAAAATATCAAACAAACAGTCCCACTTCACCTCTCAACCACATGTCGTATGATTCGTCATCAGGCAATTGATGTTTTCTAGAGTTTTTGAAAAGTAAGGAAAGTTTATCGGAAAAGTAAGGATAGAATCGTAAGAGAAAGTAGCGCGGAAGACAGGGCCGGACGCGCGGATCACCCCGCGCTTACTGAGCTTACTGGCGCCCAACAAGTGGTGCCTAATAACAATATTGTAACCGACGCGCAAACTCATAAGTGCACGCTACAGGCTCTTACACAATAAAATTATAATATGTTTTAACATAATTTAATGAAAATATACACAAACGTCCAGCACTAGACTGATAATAGCTGATATGATGATGATGATACACAAACAAATAATCGACCCGACTACAAAACAGTCTGCTGAGGTCCAATATCAATATAAATATGAAATCGATTGATTTAAATTGCTATTTAGTACTAATTTCATTTAAAGCATATTTCTATGATAATTTCAACAAAACTTATACCTTTTTATTTAACTTTTATTTATAATTAGTTACACCATATAATTACTTCAAAAAATTAAACCAAAACATATTGTATATTAAATTTTATTCCATAAAAAACCAATTAAACTCTCAACCATCAATCAATTATGCTGTTCTTAGGATTCCTTTCTACTGACGACATTCGTGATAATGTACTGGGTAATAATAAGCATAAATTAAAGAAAATAAATTGAAAAACTATATTTTTGTGCGTGTGTTCGAATTGAGTTTTGCAACTCAGCTGTCGCCGTTCTTACTTATTTACTTATAAAATATGCTCACGGCTTTAATCTCAACAACAAGGAATATCTTAACCTAATGAAATTTTATTAAGAAATATCTTAAACTGAAATGTTTGTTTGTCTTTTATTAAAGTAAGTCATTGAAATTCTAGATATCTATGGCCCATTTGCCTCACTGCCTGAATCGAGAATAAGAATTGGATATTTAATACTAGAAGGGGACTTTGTACATAAATCGATTACCCAAATATGGAATACTAACATATGTACATATATACGAGTATTATCTTTATCATCACAGACGGCAAAAAATTAAATCAAACCACCCGAACACCGGTAATGAAATTATTAATAATGGAGAGTAGATACATAGCCCAATTGCTAGCAATAGGTGCACTTATGCTCTGTTAGGTCGACCTCCACACGGTCCCTTCAAGAAACCATCGCGGTTAATTCTTGTGGAATTCGTCACGATGGGTGAACTGACCTGCTTTTATCCTCATCTATAATCTCTCACTGGTGCCGCGCCAGCGTATACCGATAGCTGAGGCGGACTTACCATTCCATTCTCACTCATAAAAATGGTATTATAACCTACCTCCGCTAATCAGTTGACGCATCAAAAGCAAATTGATTGTTTTCGACATTGATTGTTAACAATGGAGTTTGAGAACCCCATTGCTAGCAATATGCTAGTAATATGGTTTCCAGGGCGTACCAAGTGGAGGTCGAATTGAGAATTGATGAGCTAACTGACCTGCTTCATCCTCACCTATCATCCTTCACTGGTGCCCCGCCGTTGTATACCGATAGCGCGGATAGGGTTACCATTCCATTATCACGCATTAAAAAAAAATAAAACAGCGTATAAGTACTGTTCACAGTATTTATACGCTGAGGGGGGTAAGTACACATCAAGGCATGCACAGGTATCATACATTTACAAAAAAATCAGTGGCTTACTACTTGAATAATCTTAACTACAGTCAATCTAAAACCTATGTGCAAGGGTGCAAGGAATTATTAGTAATGTGATCTCATAGCTTCATTGCTAGCAATATACCCTATCAGGTCAACTCAAATGTATTTTATTCCATTGTAGATAATTTAAATTCTTATGGAATTCGTTACGATATGCCTGGGATGGCCAACTTAACTAGACCCAAGATCTACTGTTTACTGATGAAACCCTGTGCGATCAACCAATGAACATGAAATCTCAAATGAAACAACATAATTCAGTACACAATTATGTATTATTGTAGTATTTTTATTTTACTGAAAATTATTCTTAGTATATAACTACTTCTTTATATTAGTGTGAACATTACGTCAAATTTTTTCCTTGCCACAATCGACTGGACTAATAATTGCGATCGAACGGGCGATCGCGATCGACCGGTTGGCCACCCCTGCGATAGGCCAACTGACCTGAGGGCCTACCATGAAATGTTTTCCGAAATTTCGGAGGCAAACGAAACAGAAATTTGATGTTAAAATTACATAATACATGCCGTTTGGAAATATTAAAAATGTTAAAATATTGTGCCTTTGGACTTTTATGATAGGATGTATGACGAACAAAATGTTAAACTCTATTTATTGGTCCGATTTTGGTATAAACAAAAACACGAAATTGAGTCCGAAATTTCGGAATTTCATTTATGTTGTAGACCCGCTGCTTTCGACCTTCGCTAGTATCGCCGGCAACATACACATGTCGATACTGTTAGCGTGGTTATCATTCCATTATCACGCATACAATATTCGAGCCTTCTAAAGTACTAAAAATGCATTGTTTTATTATTAATAACAAGGACAAAAAAATTAATTTTATTTACAATATTAAATAAGCAAACTCAAGTGGTAATAAGCTGGTCACATAGCTCAAAGAACCGACAACCGATGGGAAAGAAAGGTTCTTGAGTGGCGACCGCATACGAGCAAACGCAGTGTACGACGACCCCCCACTAGATGGAATGAGGACCTGAAATGTATTGCAGGTGCAGGGTGCGGGTGACTCAGGACCGTTCTTTATGGCAGTCTATGGAGGAGGCTTATATACAGCAGTTTTTTTTAATGGATGATAATGGGATGGTAACTCCATCGTGCGCTATCGGTATACGCTGGCGGGGCACCAGTAAGGGATGACAATGAAAGCAGGTTAGTTAGCCCATCGTGAAGGATTCCATAGAATTAACCATGATAATTTCCAGGGGGAACCACGTGAAGGTCGATCTGATAGAGTGTATTGCTGGCAATGGGTCAGTTAGATCCCATTACTAACAATCCCTTTCCCCCTATGTCTAGAAGTAGCCGGATAATAGCTGAAATGAAATTGGATAAGTATTGTAGTTACCTGGGGAGAAGGGATTGTTAGTAATGGAGAGATTAGTCCCTACTACCATCAATATACCTTATCAGGTCGACCTCCACGCGGTTTCTCCCTGGAAACCGTCATGATTATCTTATCTTTGAATCCGTCACGATAGGCTAACTGATCTACCTTTTCATCCTCATCACTCACCCCTCACTGTTACCACACCAGCGTATACCAATAACGCAGGAGGAGTACCAATCTATTGTCATCCATTAAAAAAATTATATTTATCTGAGCTACACAATATCTATGTGCACTAGTTTATGAAAAAAACAAAGATAATCTGTCATTTGTCATTGTGAAATGTCAATGTCAAATCAAATACGGAAGCAAAGTGTTAAGAATCTACTATGAAATTTATTTACATTTTTATTTGCTACGAATAATAAAGATATAAAAAATAAATAAAATGGATCTACCATACGAGGTATGTTTTCTAAATCTTTATTTTTTTTCCGTACAGATCTCTCAATTAAAAAATAGTATCTGTATGTTCGCTTTATATAATTGTTTTTCACGTGATTGGTTGATTAGCTGATTTCCTTTGTTGATATACGTAGGTAAACCTTGTAAATTGTTGATAAAATTAGCAAATTTATTTTGTAACTTAAAATCAGTTCCGAACAATTTTAATGCCATAAACCAGAGGATTCTAATCCTTTCTATCTTATCGACGAATAAATCTAAATAATGCAGTAAACTATATCCTTAACACTTAGTAAACAATCTTAGCTTTTGTTATCAAATTTAGTAACTTAAAACAACCATTACTAATGATATACAATAATATAATATTTTGTTTATCTAGTTGTTTATTTTATTTCTATAAAAATACATGTTAGGATTTATAAAAATCTGAAGAATAGAATAATACAGATTTATTTATTATATATTTTCAGGTATTAGTTTATTTATTCAAATTTTTACCAAAATCTGATAGAATATCAGCAAGTGAAACATGCCGATCTTGGTATCTAGCTGCTAATGATCATTTTTTCATGAAAAACAAAGTAGCAGTATTTTACAAATCAGTGTTAAACGATGAAGACACCTCACCTGTAAATGTTTTTGAAAACTCTTTAGTCACACACCAAAATTATATATTCAATGAAGTAGAGATATCTAGCAAATTAAATGCTTTTTGGGATAAGATGGGAGAAAGTATAAAATCACTCACACTGAGAAACTGTGATATCTGTGAGAAAGTATTTGTGTACCTTTTGCAAAAATGTACAAGTCTAGAAGAATTGAATATCCAGTGCTGCAGAGAGTTGTTTATGTCGGGACGCCTACTAGAAGGAAAAAGTGAAGGGTTACTAGAAGACAACCTTGACAATTTAAGAATTTTAAGTTTGTCAGGAAATCAGTATCTTACAGATGCACTGTTTAACAGATTTGTAATGGCTACTCCAGCTCTAGAGAAACTTAACTTATCAGCTTGTTCTTTACAATTTCATCTAGGTTTAGTTAAAAAATTTTACCCACCTGGCACAGATATTTTTAAGAATCCATCAGAAAGTGTGCTGACATTCTATTTCGTTTTACAATTTATTATATCTCGAGCAGAGAATATCAAATGTTTGCTATTTTCAAATACTCTTATAGATGGTGCAGCTCTAAAACTACTTTCAGAGATAAAAAACTTAAAATTAGAATCTCTAGAAGTCCACAGCTGTGATCAACTAACAAACACAGGCATATTAGCATTAACAAACCACCAGACCTCACTTAAAGAGCTTGACATAGGCTTGTGCACCAGAGTAACTGATCAGTCACTTGTGTACATATGCAAAAATCTAGTCAGTCTTGAATATCTTAATATACAACGTTGTCGTGCTGTGACTGACCTGGGTATAGCTGAATTGAGGAAGTTAAAAAAATTAAGATCTCTTAATATCTCTCAATGTGAACTTATTACAAAAGATGGCTTAGAAAAAGGATTGTGTGCTGAAGAAAATAAAACTATTGAGGATTTAAATATACATTCATTAAATTTAGATCAAACTGCACTGATTATGATTTCAGAAAAGATGCCTAATTTGCGTGCCTTAGACATAAGTTATTGCTTTAATGCAGTGACTGATACCTCAATTCAGGTCATATTTAAAAACCAAATACTTTTGCATACATTAAAATTGAGTCATTGTGATAAAGTATCTGATGCTGGACTAACTGGAATGGGAAAAGTGGAAGCTGAAGGTGATGATGAAGGACCAATAATGTCAACTTATGATGATGCATCTTCAAACCACAAGATCCCTCTTGGATCTAGAGCCGAAGAAGAAATTGTTCGAGATGCAAAACGAAAACGTGATGTAAAGCTAATGTGTGAAAAATTAACAATGGACACTTTTACTGGCTATTCTTTGGCACGCATGAAGGGTCTTAAGAAACTTGATGTAAGTGGATGTAATAGGATCACAGATGTAAGTTTGACTTATGCATTCAATTTCAAAGAACTTGTCAACTTAAATTTAAGCAGATGCCAACAGATAACTCATGTAGGCATAGAACATCTGGTTAAGAATTGTCCAAGTATTGAATATTTCAATCTGACGGATTGCTACAACTTAAAAGATGAAGCTGTAAAAGAAATTGTAAAGGCTCTCAGAAGACTGAAACAACTGGAACTGAGAGTAAGTGTTTATCTGTTTATTATAAAAATGTACAATGTTTGTCAAAAACATCATTTTCTTGATACTAGAATTATAAAAAATCTGTTGTCAATTCAATTATATTATTAATAACTACATTTTTGGCCGCTAATTTGTACGCAAGAACTTCAAAAGTAGAAAAACCAATAGATTAATAAATAGGCGACCAAAAATAAATAAAAAAAATTAAATGTCATAAATTTTTCTAAAATATCTTCCATATACAGAAATCATCTAATTACAATTTTATTATATTAGTAAGATAATATATCATTACAACAGCAAGTCTACAAATGCCTCTGACTACTCCATTTAGAATTATAGTCGTGTTCAAATTTATTGTTTTTAAATACGATTAACAAATGTGTGCTTAATTGTATGTAAGTATATAAATGTATGCTAGCGATTGAACTCGAAACCATTACAAGTTAGATAGGTGTATTAAACCGCTTCAACATCAAAGTTGTAGGTAGGTACTTATTTATAAGTATGTAAGACTACAAATTTCCTATTTTGTATTTTCTATGACAGTGCTCCCTTGCAATAAAATGTTACATCATTTGATACTAATTGTTACAATATAATTTTGAAATTAAATCACAATACACTTAGGCAAAGCGTAGAATGCCGAAAAACTATGCACGGTCGTACAATAGGAAGACTTACAGAAAGTTCTGCAAAAACAACAGCCAAGAATTTTACTGAAAAACCAGTCTATAATCTTTTATGACGTTTTTATGACGTTTGTTTACATTATAAATTAATATGTGAATTATGAGTGAAAAGTTCAAATATTCAATTTCTTGTCAGGATGAAATAGTCTAGTGGTATGTTATATATATATATATATATATATATATATATATATATATATATATAGACAATTACAAATACCAATTTATACATTTAGAAAGGGCATCTTTTAAAAAGTAAATACTAGGTTGCTTTTATTAAACAATTTTTAGAGAGACGCTATATCTAAATATTAGTTAACACGTTGGGCCCGGCGCCGGTCCCTTGGGACCGGCAGCGAACATTCCGTGGCCGGCGCCGGTCCCTAGGGACCGGCAGCGAACTTTCCGTGTGGCCAACGTTGGTCCCTGGGGTACGTACGTAGTTTAACTATACATCATATGAAAATATGGAATAGAATCACACATACATTTTACATACACCTAAAAAACGTCCAAAATAGCGCGACAAAGAATTCCTTATCTCATTAGCACTAAAGTAATCTCTTGGCGATAGCATACAACATTGTATCTCTCGCCGGCTGCCGGCTGAACGGAAAAGACAGCAAATTCGGCGCCAGGCTCAACGTGTTAATGGTCCGTATAACAGTATTGTGTGAAATTTTTATTTCGCGAGGGAACTATAAAATCTCTTTACGTACTTCACCAAAATGTAAATCTTAATATATCTACCATTCCACCTTTATTCATTGAACATAATTCTATATATGTAAATATGTAGACAGACAACTAAATTTTATTTACTTATTAAAAATAAGATTTACTTACTAGGTTGTAAAAACACTGCCCTTCGTCGGATATAGACAATAATATAAGTACCTAAATTGAAATTTCTTGTTTATAATAATAATAATTCATTATTTTGAACAAAAAAAAATTGATTACAATATTATTGAAAAACGATGATATCCACAAAAGTATAAAACTGTGTTGCAAATATCAACGTCCACCTCCTCATTACAGAATTCCATTACATACTGTACGCTCGCCACTGATAAATACGTACAATACCTACTAGGTACCTATAATATATACTATACCTACAATACTTTTTTTCAGGGTTGTAATCAACTAACTGACAGAACATTAGAACCTATAAGATCTCACTGTGAAAAACTAAAATTCTTAGATGTCCAGGGATGCAGATACATTTCTCCAGAGTTAGCTTGTTCAATTGGGTCTTTACCGACGCTCCATACTGTACTAATGTCTAAACCAGGCCCATACATTACCGATGGTGTCAAGAACAGATCTCCTGCACCAACATTTCTGCCAGCATTAATGAGAAAACTTCGTCTTCATTAAGACAACGCACAAGTAAATTGATTGTGGTATATACATAAGTATCAATAGTATTTTCTTTTTTATATTTGCATCATTAGTAGGTAATTTTTATATCATATGGCTGTAAATGTAGTAAATATTATACAATAACAACTTATGGGAAACTGTGGATAAACGTGAAATATAAATTATCCAACGAGCATTAAAATGCAAACTTGAAATAATGGAAAAGGGATTAGTCGATGGTGACAGTATCTAGTCAAGGTGAAAAACGGTTGTTAATCTATACTGTTACTTGAGCAATATTCTTAAATGTAAAATTCTGTATTCGTTTTCTGGCAAACAAGGAATTACCGCAATAACTTTTTAAATCATGTTTAATTATATTTTTATTGAATAAATTAATCACTATAATCAAATAGGTGAAATTAAGAAGTCAGTATTTATAAGACAAAATTGTAGAAGACATTTGTAATGGATTTTAAATAATGACAAACAATACATTGTTTGTATACTGTAACAATACATGAAACATTCCTGATATATAAATTGCATCTATTTTATACTCATTTCGTCCAATGTCAACTCATTTAGACTTATAGATGTAGAAGTGAAAAGTACATGACGATTAGCGGTTTAAGTACTGTGTAAGTGAATAAGTGAGACAAATTGAGATAACAGTCATATCATACTTATAATAAAATCGTGTAATAATGTAATTGAAAATATTGGGTCGGTGCATATGAAATTGACGATTGCGCAACAATGTAAAACAGTGGGCGCGTATTACTGAATACTTTTTGACTTGATTATTTTTGTTTGTTGTAAGTAAAGCATCGACACTTGATTAACATTTTAAACATCATTAGAGGATTCAGACGTTAGACGTGATTTGACGTTTTTCTTTCTTACCATGTATTCGAAAAAAAATTAGAAATATCTTGATTTAGAAGTTCGAAAGTTGATTAAGTGCACGTGAAACAGCAAAAAAAAAAAAGAGATTACGGGAGAATACAGTTTCTGAAAAGACAGCGAAAAATTGGTTCCCAAAATTTCGTTGTGGAGTAGCGAATTTTTAAAACGAGTCTCGCGGTCGACCTTCGCGCGTACTGGATCTGCAAGTTTTACAACAATCAGTGGAGTCCAATGTGCATATAAGCACACGAGAAAAACAAGAACTTGCTGTTCATCATACAACTGCTGTACAAGGCCTCAAACAAATTGGTAAAGTAAGGAAGTTTGGTCAGTTTGGTGAAACGAACTCTCGGAGTAAAATCGTTTTATCATTACATCGTCTCTGTAGAATCGACAAATAACTAAACCTTTTCTTGACCATCTACATCTATTTTGTCGTAAATCTAAAATTATATTAATAGTAGTAATCAATATAATAATAATCAGTCATTTTTTACGATTTATTTAAATAGGTACATTGATATTGTCTTGTTACCATTTTTCGTCAAATTTTGTAGAAATATAAGTAACTGTTTATCTATTGTTCTTACGTTTCCAACTTCACTTTTACAAATAAATTATGAAAGATTTATATCTAAATAAAATTAATAAAATGTAACTCACAAGCTGCTTAATCGAGAACAATTACCAGTGATAAATTTAGCAATTTTACTGCTACTTAACTATCATATCCTAGAAATACTAGTACCTATCCAAAAATCCATACAAAAAAAATATGCTTTTTATTATTGTTACGCCAGTATTTATTGCAATTAAAGCAAAAATGAAATTATACTGTTATATCTTTGTTATAAATACATAAATTTTATTTATTTATTTTAGACACAAAGTCAAAACATTATATATTATTTCTGTATATTATTTTATATATATTTGTTGATTTCTCCTAAAAGGATGTTGTTAGTACAGCTGTGATAACATTTGTACCTAATATGCTATATTAATAGTACAAATTCGTGCATTAAAATTTGTGATTTTAACCTGTCTCTACTCGTTTGTTTTTATATTTTCCTCGTTTTCCTTGAATTGGATTAGAGTCCTTGGATTTCCCTCAAATGTCTACACCAGCTTATTAAGAAAACAATCAGGCATAATTTACTTCATTTTGTGGATATACCTAAAAATTGTATAAGGGTCAATAAAATGTAATGTACGCTGGAATACGAGCAGTGTGAATGAACTTTTACATTTAACATCATGAAATAAGGTCCACAAACGAAAATCAATCACTATGCACAATAGATTACAAAACTACACTATAAATGTTCAGCCATTGTATTAATTAAAAACAGCAAAAACATTTTTGATGAAATCACTTGACAGTCTACGAAACTCATAACTGTTTGCATACAAATTTGTCATATAGTTAATTCATATTTACTATTGAATCTGCCAAATACCTCAAACTGAACAAGATATCCCTCAAAAAGTCCGCTGTTATAACTTCCTATATAGGTAAAATAAGAGCCTTACTGCGTTCGTCCCAAATAAAAAACAAATATTATTCAACCTTTTATTTTTACATTTAAAAATAACTTACAATCAGTAGTGATAGCTATACTCTTATGTTACATAGGTACTTAGCGCTAAATCCTACCAAACTTTGTTCAGTGTTATAATGAAAGATTTTATACAATGAATTATTTTTAGAATGCTTAGAATAGTACAAATAATTGCAAGTTTTACATACAATAATACAATCATTAATTCAAAAAGCACTATTTGCATCTAACTTAATATTTTCCTTGGCATACACGGCATATAAAAAAATGCTGGTAATTTTTAGTTTAAGGATAACTAAACAGAAAATTACATTTAAATCTTATAATGAAGGCATAATGTTTATTTATCAGTGTTATGCAATAACGATGGATGAAGGTATGCGCCTTCACATATAATTTTAACGAGTTTATTAGTACTGATCTAGTTGAAAATGCACTTTACAATGTAATACCCACGTATAAGTATTGAACTAATGAGACATTTATATATATTGAATGATACTAAAGTAGTTGGCGTATTATACATCTTACAGCTATGATCCTACATGTAGATAATAGGTAGGTATTGAAAAGACATGCTGATCTAGTTTCTGTTTACATTTATTTATACATAATATTAATCACAGACATATCGCTTGAATAGTTACCACTCACTTGTATTACTGAATTTAGTCAATACTTATTAATGAATTTGAACTTCAGGCATAAACATTTGAAAATTGATTGGCGGTAAGCTCCTCACTGCTCTATAACTCACCTTAGCTCTATAAAATAATTGGTGTATTGACGCTGTTTCCAAACTTAATGTTAATTTACGAATATAATTAGTATTATATTCGTAAATTAACATTAAGTTTTTTACATCTTTATTAATTACATTGTTAAGTAGCTAGTTAGTACTAGCTACTTAACAATGTAATTAATAAAGATGTTTCAGACACCGCAAAAACGCCTTGTGCAATTAAAAATAACTCAAATTGTTCAATACAATACATATATTTACTTATTAGTAATATACATGCGGAAATGGCACGTATAGGAAATTAACAAAAATATCATGCGACATGACGCAATATGACATAATATGATGACCTTAAGAGCGCTCATAACATTACTTTACCAAAGTGTGACAACGTTGCAATTACTGTCAATTCTTAAAAACAATTGAATATTTTTCAGTATTTCTGATTGATTATTTAAAAAGTACTCTACTAACGAATTCTGCTACTACGAAAAACTTTGCACCCACTATATATTTTGCATCAGAATTTGCAAATACATTTTTGCTATCATAATTCAAATCTTCAGTGACCGCTTAACAAGAATATTATTGCATAATTAATCGCTTTAATTCACTAGCAGAATTTTTTTAAATAATCAGACATTGAAATATTTTCAATAATTTTTTGAAAATAAACAGATAATTGCGACGTCACCATACTATGTTTTGAAAGCCCTTAATTTTTTTTAAATATTACTCCTATTACAATAAAGCCTCTATCTATAATTAAACAATGTATACATAAAGTATATAGGTGGACACAACTGAATCAAAATAGTGTATTAAATTTAAGAATTATAGACATTACCGTGCCTATATAAGCCTAGAGCTCGATCTAGGAAGAGAACAGGCTACGATACGAAAAGTATGACAAAAATAAAAAGCAAAAATTAAGAGTAGGTATAATCTTTTGGTCAGAAAAGCAAAATTACCAAATACAGTTAGTAGTATTAGTAGTATTATGAAAAACATTAAATAAATTATTTTCAATTGCACAACCAGTAAAAATGTTCAATTAAAGCGTTAAATTTATTTTAATGAACAAAATTTTTTTGGTATAAGTAATTAGCGACTTGTTATTAAGGTACTGATTTAATTGTTAATCCCAGCAAAAACTGGCATATTAAGAACAAATTTATAAACATTAATCAATTAGTCTTTTTAATTTTTGGAAATACATCTTTGAACTATTTGCATATTTATACATATTTAATATTAAAGTAATAATATAGTCAGACTATACTGCTCCAGCAAAAATAAAAAAAATAAATTCTGAAACTGTACACAATCACACTATACAAATAACAAATATCTGGGATATACGGATACGTATTACACGTATTACAAATGTTATTATAAAATATATTGTAACTTTTGATGTACGTAAAACGTAGTTCACTTTTTGGAGCGCTTCGTCCTGTGAGAACCCTTTTTCGACATTCCTCATGGCCTCAATCGCCAATTAGATGGGGATCGAACCTCAACTTGCGGCGTATTCAATGTAGAACTGCACGGTGTAGGCGATACACAAGCATCTTGAGAATTATCCGCCTCCAACTCTGGCATATTTATATCATCAAAGTTTGGAACATTTCCTGTATATGATATAAGCTGATTCTCTTCAGCTGAAAGTCACCCAAGAAAAGACCTTGTTAGAATTGATAACACATCAAAAATCAAAACAATGTCGACGATTCTTAATCTTATGTGTACATTATAATACCTAAGGTAATAAAAAAATATATTTACTAAATTATATAGTACATTATTTAAAATTAAATGTTTAATTGATCCATGTGATTGACACTTATATGGTTATATCAAAATACTTATAAAAACTAATTGCGACCAGGGTACACTACAAAAAAGCAACTAAAATTATTCACATGGCTCAAAACTTCAAAATACCGGATTCAGAGTATTCAATATGTATTATCACGCATTGCACTACTACATAAACAGACATACTCCTTCATTGCACATATTTGACATTTATATTCAAGTAACTCTAAAAGTTAGACGTTTAAAACACACAGCAGTGCGTAGCGCCGTCATGTGTAAAGCTCGGCGGAATACATATTAAACTATTATAAATGCGAGTTTGTGTATCCATCCACACACAATAGTAACAAACGTGCATATACTTTCATGTACTACTGAACAAGTTAGAATGCAATTTGGTAGATGGATAGGTTATATTCTAACTTAGTATAGCACATACTATACAACTATAAATTTGATGACAGAACACCGCAAAGTTTCGGATTTCTTAAATTTATATTTGTAAACCGCATTCTTTGTACACAACGCGCCACGATGGCGCACTCAGTGTTGTCAATTTGATATCAGATTTTCAGACTAAATCGAATTCTAAAAACGGCGATCAGTGGCAGACTAAGCCAGTTATAGGCCCGAGGCAAGAAAACTTAATGGGGCCCCCAATTTAAGAAGTTAATGTAATTCCACAAGTTTTTTATTCAGTTCACATTTGTATGTATAAATGTTTATGTTTATTTAGTTAAAATCTTGCAAGTGAAATTTAAATGATGAGGAAAATGGAAGCCTATGACCCGAGACCCGGAGCGGGCGCCCCATACGCCCCCCTAACCCCCGATAGTCCATCACTGGCTAGAATAATCCATTAATTATAAAGTTAAGCTGTAATGCTATCTATATATAATGCAGTGTAATAACTAAAATACAAAAATCTGTATATAGTTACTTAAACAAAATTCACGAAATGTATTAATATATTTGAAAAAAAAACAGATGAGACTTTATAAGACCCGATATTATCGCCGACCAAGATCTACGAGCAAACTCTTTTAACATATTTTTGGTAATATTTTAAAATAAATTTAAATGGACATTTTTCTTTGTTTCGACAAAGTTTAATTTATGGCTAGTTTTGTGGCTAGGAACTAAACGCTAAACTAAAATACAAGGCCAGATAAGAAAAATAGCTAGAGCTAGCCCCGAAACCGCAAATTTGGCCAACACTGGCTGCACCGCTCTGTGTGCATAAACACTTATCTATACGTGTGCAATGTTAAAAATCTTGCCTAGTCTGGATCCAGCTTTATTTTAGTGTAGTATAAATATATTAATTATATAAATACACAGATATAGTTACAAAATATGCTACAAAAATAGGTACTTATATTCTTTATAGAATAGAATAAATTTTGTAAAGAACTGAAATATAAAAAGGATACATTTATTAGGTAAATAAATGTATCTTACTTTTTGTAATTGTATTTCAATTCATATATAAAAATAAGAATTTATTCTAAATTATGTCTTGAAACATAAATCTGGATAAATTGATTTTGAATTTAAATCATATTAAAATAATAATGATCTCCTGAATTAAATGGATGTAATACATAAATCTCTACATTTTAACACATTTTTGGCATTATTTCAGTAAGACAACTCATTATATTTATCATTTTTATGATTATTGACACATTGATAATTTCTTTACACTTATCTAAATGAATATATATAATTGCCAATTGATACACAATTTAGGCGACAACAATAAAGGATAGCCATGAAGGGACAGAAGCCATCCAAGATAGACAAGACCATTTATGAATGTTCATACACGTAGAGAGATATATATATTGTGGACATTAGCGCTGGACTCCTTCATTGCCACTTATTTTAAATAAAAGTAAACTGTAATAACTATTATAACAACTGAGCTAAATCAGCAACTCTATATATCCTCAAAGGACAAATACCTCACATGCAGCCACAAAACAGCAAAAGATCATAAGGTATGATACTACCACATTGCAACAAAATAATATTTTCATAATCATGACTATCACAAATATATCACTGTAGTACTATTTTTGCTTAGTTACTGTAGGTAAACATAACTATTAAAAGTACTTAAAAAAATAGTGTAAGGCAGTACAATCAGACACTAGTGATCCCAGTTTCGCTAATCTTAGCTACATGCACTACAATGATCTAAAAGCAGTAACTAAATAAGGAACACTACTTATAAATCGTGCATTGCCTTTTATTTAATTAAAACACAACAACAAAGTGTTACTACCATCATCCTCTGTATATAGGTCTTCAACGCGATTTTCGTCGCTGCTTACATTCGAAATTTCACCCTTGTGCTTCTTAGCTTTAAATTAACAATAGGTGTAATTACAACAGGGAACTGCCAAGTCATATTTTATTAGTATATATAGCATAACAACTAAATTAATATTTTTATAATTATGATAAACTCCCGCATTAATGATATCAAATTGTTAGGCTTGTAATTAGATAATGTCTTAAAAGTCATGAAAAGAAAATTTCAATGTTATATTAACAAAGAATTTTTAATTAATTCAATAAGTATAACGGTATATAATTATATATAAAAATCTCTGGATACCTTTTTTATTCGCCTCTTAATTATTATATAAATTTTCATAACAAAATGGAAAACAAAATCAAATAAATATGCATAATTAACGTGTCAACGATGTAAAAAATCTACATCTCTCGAGGTAGATGGTAAAATGCGAGTACCTATCACATAAGGGCAAACACATCTATTTATCCTCTCTCTTTATCGTTTTATTTCACAAGTTACTCAATGATCTTTTAAAAGCGTCCAAATATAAATTCTAATAAATAAATAATAACGATAAGAACCTATTGCGTTGGCTGTTAATTTTATGCATATTACGTATAGGCAAACAAGGACAACTGCGAATATCTAATTTTTTTTATCAAAAAAGGTATCACTAACGCCGACTGAATATGTTTTTCAAGCCTGTTGAATTAATCTTTCAAAACATAGTATACAACAATTTGATAGTATCATTAATTTTGTATTAGTTTCAATTTAACACGCTGTCGTAAGTAGATTATGACTGAAACCGTCCATCACTTGATCCACGTTGGCTGCACCGGATCCTTCCATAGACCACTAACCCTTACCACCACAATAACATTAACCCTTTACCAAAAAAAAATCCAATAGGTCACGTGAACATGACACCAACAAACATCTTGGCAATGTCTTGGAGGATGAAGTAGTAAGACTACTTCGCAGGCGATGCCTCGCTGTTACCGATCAGCCAATCAAAATCAATCATCGCACACTGTTTGGTTGTATCTACAATTAACATAAACGTGAAATATAACCAGAATTTACTATTATGCGCACCTTTATTAAGACAATTCGTCGAAGTATGTTATACTTAGTATTGTGCAAACCATAAACATAAAATGGTCAAAATAAAAATGAAGATGTCAAATGCCAACGCGTAATGAGGATATTGTCAAAAAAAACATCACATATTTTTATATGAATTGAATGTTGAAGTAGTAAATAATATTATATTTAGGAACAGTCTGTCTATTTATGAACAAGTATTAGGCCATAATATAGAAGTCATCGCTAGATTTTAAGATTTATTAGATTTGGAAATAATTAACTTGAAATATCAATGCGTGAATGCAGTTGCATCAATTGTATTTACACCGCGATATTTGACGTTTGATCTACTTTGCAAAAAAAGCTAAATAATATTTCTTAGCATATAACTTGAGTGTTAATTTCTTTATGTGGGGTGTGTGTAATGCAGTTTTTGGTAATGGGCACTATCGACCCCATTGTCTAACTTCATTTCGTTTACCTAGAAAGCCATCGTGGTGAAATCCTGGCGAATTCGTCACAATAAGCTTTTTTCACAATTTTCAAACAAAATAAAGTTAACTGTATTTAAGCCATCAGATCTGACTTCATCCTCGCCTATCAACCCTCACTGGTAACCCTAGCATTACCATTTTATTTTCATCCCATAAAAAATACTTTTTATGCAATAATGTTGACGCGTTATTATAATGTTAATTTAAACAACATAAACAACGCTCAATTAATAAATTTAGGAAAGGAAATGACAGCATAGTCTACTAAATACCTAGCTAGAAATATCGTTAATTATGACCAAAACTTGAAAGTATATCTACTATTATGAGCGTTTTGAAATTTACCATAATACAACATGATATCGTACGATTTTGTCATCACGATATAATATGAGAACAAAATATAAGCAATTGGTATGACAACACTTTAAATTTACCGCGATATAATGAACATGGATGAAATTTAAAAAACGTCTTCATACGATTGCATATATCTGGTTCTATATACCGTGACCATAAAATTGTTCAATATCGTGCACAACAAGTTTATCGTTACGCTATATATATTTTACGTAATCTTTCAAACTCTTTCTAACTCACCACTATTTGATGACTTTGCTCTCTCGTCCATATTAAATGAAAGGCCATAAAAAGGATCATCGGCTCCAAATAACTGAAATGTAAAGAAATTATTATGTATAATTTAAATTTAAGAAGAATGATTCGATATAAAAGTTTCATAATATGTATTTTATTATGAAATATACAAATCAAAAAACTTCATAATATTTCATAATGCTGTAAACACTCGTGAACGGGCGAAATAAATATTCACTATTTAACTGGTAATGTGAGTGAGGTTTGAAGTAAACATTTTTAATGCTAATCCTGCTCATAGGTATAACAAACTTATTTAAATTTGGATATTTTTATTACATAATTATTTGCAGTCTGTTGAGGAATGGTGAATGACATCGTAGGTCCTAAACTTGCATCAGCATTCTACGGACAATACAAAATCTTAATAAAAATAACAAAAATGCAGAAAATTATAAGCATATTGAGAGCATCGTAATCTAGAAAATATAGTATAAAAAGTAATAAATATAGTTCAATGTTACGTTCATCATAACGGCAACAAATGCCTCTGACTGCCTCATTAAGAATTATAGTCGTGAGCATACTTATCAAATTATTTTAAATAATATTTTGCATACAAAATGCTTTTTGAGAACAAGAATGTGGTGTATATTTAAATTTTTTGTTGTAAATATTCGCATTCCTCATAATATTTTCAAAACAACAGGATCGTTTCTGCACCGTCATATTCCTAAATTAACTTTTAACCTATTGTTTTAATATTATAGTTTCACGAAATTATAGTTTTATGCATCATCATAAACTAATTTTAAACTATCGCGTTGTAGTTGTTTCTAAGATTAAATTTTAATTTTAGAAACAGGTTTAGAGAAATGGCACCTCAGAATCGGCCCCAATGTATGTCATAGATTAGGTAATCTTGACAACCCCACTTTAAAATTGTATCACGCAATCAGAAGGTTGGTACTTTAATTCGATGCCAGCGCGCATGTGTGCGTGTGAGAGTACCGATCGACACGAGGCTCTACACGCGGATCCAACACGTTGTATGCAACGTGACTTGGGGCAGCGCTACCAACTGTACACCGATAAATGTCATTATATATTAACAAACGACGCAGTAAGCGTCGTGAGCCGTCGCTTCTTTCAAAACAAATATATTTAAATTGCGCGCCAAATGCTTTAAATATTAATGAAATAATAAGAAAGGTTATTGTTTTTTTTTAGTATGAAATTATATATTTGCAAGATTAAAGATTATTCCCAGAATTATTAACTCGCATTTTATGACTACAGCTAGGTACATAAATAAAAAATATATACATACCCCCATCAACGTGTTTGTGTCTAACGAATAACCATCACCTCGCAATAATTCTCTTAAAGACTCGAGGTCTGATTGCATGGTATCCAGATGGTCATCAATATCATCCCTGAAAAGTTTAAAATATGGATTATTACGTCATATTAATTATGATATAAATGACAAAACCATTTTATTTTAAAGCTTATAATAATAGATTTTCTTCTCAGTATTTTTGTTAAAATAATTGATTTCTTGTTATACATACAGCGCAATGTTAGTGCAAAGGCAGAAACTGTTATTTATTAATAATTAACATTTTTACTCAAAGTTATAATGAATGGTGACAAATAATTTCTCATTCAACACAACTTAAGACAAAAGCATATATTTCATAATTTATGTATTATTATGCAGTAAGTGCCCGCAACCTACTAAGCCCATAGAATTAAGTTGTATAGAAAGTTCAACAATAATCAAAAATTCTGTATCACAAGTTTATTTCATATTTTTTTAACACATTTCATTTCACCTACATTTATGAAGCTGCTTGAATTATATGATCCAAACATGTTATGTGCGCTTTTCTTATTCAAAGTATAAAATATAAGTACATAAAAATTCTTAATAGATTCAAAACTATTAATTCTTTAAACAAAATAGATGAATTAAGAGAGTTTGAATACATAAAATAGAAATGATATATAGGTATTAACATACATTTTGGAAAGGGGATTTATAATTAAGTCTATCATCAATATTTACAAGCTTCATAGACTTTTTGAATAGCTTATGTTATCATGAAAATCTAAATTATAAAATTACTGAACCAATCCTTTACGATTATTATATTACAATATTCTATAACTATGAATATACTATTTATAGTATATTCATAGTTATAGAATATTGATTTGCAAAAAAATATACATTAACTACTAATGTGTCCGATTGGAATTAAAATATTTTTTTTTATACCACAAAGGTGGTAAACAAGCATACAGCCCATCTGATAATGAACACAAGACTGCAATACCAGGAGTGTCATTTACACATTTCTAACTCTGAAGAAACCTTAATATATCCTTTTTGAAGAACCCCATACTGCAATCTCTAGGGACAACCTCTAATTGTACTAATCTGCAGAATACACTACAATATCGTAATCAATTATAGATATTTATCGAAATTTTCATTTTAAAGAAATAGGAAAAGTAATTAATTGGATAGACAAATGTATTCAAAATTCACTTTCAATAAATATTTATAGTAGACCATTGAATGAAGCTGATATTATTAATTGTCATTACACATACTTGTTTGAATTTGTTCCAAAAAGAGAAGTAAATTCCTCTCGATTTTTTCCGATGTTATCTCTCCTACTCCTGAATATTAAAAGTGAATAATATAATAACACAAAACTGGAAACATATTATATGAATGGAAAATTATACCTTAGTAGTAAAATATTTTGATTAATGTATATAGAGTAAAATAAAAACAGAAAATACAACCCACCTTGTCTGAAATCTGTTGACATTAGTGTTATTATTGACTGTGGCAAGTGTCATATTACTCCAGTCATCTTGCATTTCAGTCTTAATATCTGCTATGTTAATTGTATCATCAGCCACATAATCCTTATTAGACTTCTTAGATTTCCCGTCAGACTTAGCTAGTCCATCCATTGGTTTTTCTAATTTAATGCCTCCAAGCATTTTATCCTTTGTTAAAGGTGATGAATTGTTTGTATTGAGAATGGTATCTTGTAAGATATTCTGAACTGGTAAAACTTCTGTTACTGGGATTGCAACCTCACTCGCAGAGTCGTCACTGGCAAATATTTCAGCAGGAAGCTTCAAGTCAGCTGACGGGTTTAAGGTGTTGAAGTTACTTGTAGACATCAGTGTTTTGCCACTTTGTTGGGTAGAAGATTTGTTGACACTTCGGCTCTTTGATTTAGATTTTCCCAAGGATGTGGTGGTATTGCTCACTTGCTCTGGAGATGCAGGTGTATTCACAGCAGATGTTGATGAAGTTACAGGTAAAGAGTTTGTAGAATCAAGAGTTTGTGGAGAATTGTTTAATTTATATACAGGATAAAATTGAATTACTTTAGCAGAACCTGAAAGAAAAAAAATATTTTATTATAACTAGATTTCCCTAAACATACAAATTTTCATTTAGGTAATTTGTATTTTTTATGGTAACTATAACAAGAAATGGGTACAGTGCATTTCACCTCAATATATTTAAAAAGAGAGCTTACTGATAATACAATAATATTGATACTGATTAATATTCTAAACTTTTATTCTTACATGCTGACACAACTTTATTTTTGTCAAAAACACCTTTTAATTTAACTGCCTCTGCTCACCTTATGAAAAGAAAACCTACCAACCAATTGCCTCTTTTTTAATATTCAGTAATTTTATAGCAAATACAAAACAAATCATATATATCAATACATAGATAAATGTTTGTTTCTTTTTGTATGTAAGAATTGATTAGCCATAAAGCTACTGGATACCAATCACTGCCTACATAGACTCAAAGGACCTTGACTACACAGTACCTAATATAAATTTATTTATGAAAGTTAAAAAGAGTGGAAATATAAATAAAAATTATAAGAAAAAAATTATTGAATTGTTACACTGACATACACCTTTTGATTAATGTGTACAAGCTTTTTTTAAATAACTATTGGAAATATTTACCTTCTTATTCATAAAAGCATCAAACATCTCATAAACCTATTTTAGCTATTGAGCTGTTTTGTCTTTTTCTTTTGAGTTAAATTCCCAATTTGAAAGAAGGTGCCAACTCTCTATACACACACTCACACGGTACACTCTAATAGTTAAAACAGGTTTGTAGGAGATTTTATTTTTTATGAATAAGGGGGAATATTTCACGATTACTTAAGAAATAGAAAAATTAACAGTTAATACATGCATTGCTAAATTTCTAAGTATTAAAATTGTCTATGTTTAAAAAAAAACAAAGTATTTTATTTTAGACAATGTCCATTTCTAATAACCAATAATCTCTATTTTTCAAAACCATTTGCAATAAAATTTAAACCTGATTTTGGATCATCAGCATCTTCCATAGTCACATGATATTGAATAGCTCCTGCAGGATCAACAGAACTCTGATCAGTAGAAACAGTAGGCACTTCTATTGTTACAAAATTACTTGGATCTAATGACTCTTGAGATTCTTCATTAGGCAAAATGTCATCATGAACCAACTCATGAATAGTAGGTCCATCTTCCTGCAACAATTTAAAATCTTTCCTTCAGGCAACTGATAATTAATATATTAAACTTATATATTTTAGATTATCTAAAATTACCTCTATATAATAATATACAATTAACATAATACCAAAATAATAATTTCCTATTATATTAAATAAAAAAAGGACTAATTTAACATACCAAATTATCCTCATTCACATCTTCTAATATATCTTTATCTAGTCTGATATTCTTTGTTTTTCCAGGATAAGAGCTGTCTGTTGCCGAGTTATGTGCTGCATTATTTATCATAAGCTGATAAGGTCTTTTCACACCCATATTATTCCCATTTGCATTAGCAGTTCTAGTTGGCTGCACTAGAGACATCAAAAATTGGATGAGCTGAAATCATGAAATTGTTATTTAATAACTACATCTTTAAAAAAAAAAAGAAAATTACATTCCAATGATTAGTGTAACTAACTGATCCTACAAACATTGCTTTGAACCTTACTGGCACTAACAGAATCTATTTATTCTTATTAGTATAAACATTATTCTATCTCTCAAGTTGGAGCAAACACACACTTGCAGTACACATTTACAATTACAACATTTCATTTCAATTTGTGGAGCACTTTCAAAGATTAGTATGAAAGAACATAGTAACAAAAGATTTTAATATATTAAGATTGATAAAAGTTTTACACTAGATGGTCTAATTATGTTTTAAATATTCATATACATACATTATTAACTATATGTTGTTGCTTGATGTGTTTCTGTCGCAACATAGCCACCTCTCTCCATAATGCTTCATTTTCTTGCTTCATTGCACTAAACTTAGCATCCAAACTCTCTTGTTTCCCTTTCATTTGCTTTACATCTGCCAATACCTTATTCATCAACTCTGGTTTAAGAAGAATTTTCTCTCCACTATCACTGCTTACAATGGACTTTGAATTTGCAATCTTCCTCTTAATATGCTCTAGCAAATATGCATAACCTCTCATAAAACAAGGATGGGAAAATTCAATATCATCTTTTTCATATCTCAAACCTCCATTTTCAACCGATGTGATTTTGTGAAAACCATACATATTCAATTGCCTAATAAAACTTGCCATATTGTTGTGTTTATAGTAAAGAGGTAATAATTCTCGAGCAAAATCTGCTTGGTTTTTTATGACAAATGTTTTTCCGCCCTGAAAATATTTCTTTATTTTAAACAAAAAGTACAAAATATAATTATAAGTAAATTTAATTATAAATAAATATTAAGAATAGTGAAGAAATCATTTGATATTTTATAAGTAAGCAAGTAATTTCTGCTCTACTAGTGAAAGTCTAAATTAATTGCAAAGTAACTAATACTGTATTCCAAATGTATATAATTTATATTATAAATAAATAACTAATACCTAGCCCTATAAGTCACATATAAAAAGTATTTTTTCCATTTATTATTAATATTTTCTATTACATACTAACATATTGCAATAATCAAAAAATTATGACATTGATATAATAGTTATTTCATAATAATTTATTCGGCAATTTACACCTATGCCCATTTGTTGTTTATATGTTTTAGAATAATTTATCGATCAACGATAATATTGGGTATATCATGTCAAACGCCAAAGGCATGGTAGAAAACGTGACATGTATCTATTTATTTATCAAGTCAAGCTGTAGCGGCCGTCATTTCAATGTAGGTATTTTAAAGTTGTATTCGTAAATCTTTCTTTGGTATTTAAGTTAATTCCGGTGTGGGGAACCAAACTATCTACTTAAATGTCTATAAGAGTGAAATAAGATCAAACACTTACAGGGCTCCATGAAATCAAATGATTTGTCTCCGAATCGTTTACCAATTTCCATAATTTCCCCAGAAAAGCTGGAACACTAGCACCAATTTCTACAACTGAACGCATTTTTAGAATTGATGAAATCAATAATAACGAAATTTAATCAAGAACGTATATAACAGGTATTTTGTAAGAATTATGTATATACACAGTGTAAGCTGTTCACAAATCGCCATTTAATTACAAACACATATATAGGCATATGACAATAACTTGTACTTATTGCACTACTACAACTATAAATTTATTGACACTTGACAGCAGTAGACTGTCAAATTGACATCTACCTAGCGTCGAGAATAAGACTAAATCAAGAACGTAGAATCAGAATTCCAGGACAGTAGCTACTATTAATCCATGGCTTTTTTTTATTTCGTTTACCCTAAAATGATTAATCCATGGCTGCGATAGTCAGTCCTAAGAACAAGAAATCATTGAGTCAGTCATTTAGTCTTGTTGTTTGTCACATAAACAGTATAACGTGTTTAGAAGAGATCTTTGACTAACGATAATAGTGCTCTTCTTTATCTGTGCGTTACCTACCAACTTGTTTTATTATTGTTCTGTTGAAACAAAGATTACTTTTACTACAAATATACGTACTAATATTCTGTCTTAAATCCATTACATTTCCTGATCCCTTTAATTTCTTAAAGTAACGTAATGACAAAAGACTGTCGTTTGGGTACATCATAGACTAAGAATATACAACGTGACAAGTTATTCCACGCCCACACACGTCACTCAAAGAAAACGATATAAATCTATGCAACCAATTCATTTAATTTGAAAATGTTACACCATAAAATAACGGGAAATTTTATAATACTTGTTGAAATTTTATTTTATTTTATTTTATTTTATTTTGTACATTGAAAATAGAATTTTTATATTTCGGTCAAATATATTTATATGAAAAAAAATGAGGTCGACTGAAAGAATTCGAATTCTGAGACAATATTTCTATAAACGTATTCTAATATTTCTATAAAATTCCAATTTAATATTACAGCAAAATCTTTATTGTAAGGATTAATGTAAAATAATTTTATAATAGACTTCATTCAAAATTATGCGTAATGATAAAATGATGATAAATATATACGTGCATTATTTGTCAAGTTCCAATTTTTTTTTTTTGGTAGCTAGAAATAACACCTATTCATTTATTTAAAAAAAATCTTTATGAAATTCAAAAATAAGTAGTAGGTATTAACGCAAAAAAAGCTGATAATCAGTCGATACAGGCGAATGGTGCAACACTAGCAAACTTTTGTATAACATTTGGCTGTGTTTCGGTTTAAAGGTTGAAATATGGCAGTGAACACCTGAGTCCTCTGGAATGGCAACGCATGAAAAGTATCATTGGCAAAACAGTATACTCTATTATATCCATAGTACTGCTTATATCTATAGGTGACGGTTACCATTTCCCATCAAGTGGGCTGTCAGCTTGCTTGCCATTCTAAGTTGTATAAAAAAAAACATAAATACCTTTTGCAGAATTTAATTTTTTTACAATCTATAATGTATTTATTAAAAACTATCAAAACATCATATGATATAAAAATTACACATTTTTACTAATTTGTAATAACTTATTTATTACATTATCAATTAGTTCACAATTATGGGAAGAGTGTGATTGACATTCTTAGAATAGTCTAAATTACAGTAGTACTACAATTTGTTATAATAATCGACAATCAATGGGGATATTTGAAAAATTTTTGATCACTTTGATATATTAATTATTCGTCAACAACAAAATAACTAAATTATTTAATTGATACTGTTTATTTTTGTATTTGCTATTTTCAAAAGTATTTTTTTTTTAATATTACTTTGTCACTTCTTGGGGGCTCTTATAATAATAATAAGCCTTTATTCAGATATAATTTTTTTTAACTTATTGTTTTTTTTATTACGACAGATTACAACAGACGATAGTCTGTTGAATTGTTAGCAAAGGCCTTCTTTGCTTTCAATGGCCTCTACTATTAGCTATTCTTATCCAAATTCCACCTGCTTCAACCCTTATGTCAACAACCCATCTTCTCTGTCATTGTTTCTCAACTGGAGGGGGAATGATCACATTTCTTGTGGGGGAAGGGTTACGACCCTTGGGGAAGGTCGCGTTTGTTATTAAAGATAGTCGCAATCTGTTTAAAAATAATAAGATGTCGAAACATTAGTTTATTAAAAGAATTAATATTAGTGTAGTGCTATAAAATTAAATATTACATTGTAAAAATATTATTAAAAAATAAACTAATAACTTACTTTATTTAATTAAAATTGCGCAAAGATTCATTTTACCTACTGCCATTAATATGGTCAATATTATAATAAGTCCGAAAGAAGCTAAAAAATTAAAAACCTCTTTCAAATGACACAATATCGAAATGTAATAAAATAATAAAAATTTATTATTAAATGTATTAATAACTAATTACGCTGAAAATAAAAATATTATTATATTTTTATAGTGACGGGGTCGCAAGACCTTTTACTTGGCTTTTTCGTGGATCGCGATATAAAAATAGTTGGAAAACAATAATCCATGTAGTCTTCTTCTTCTGCTTTTCTTGTCTTTTATGTACCAAAACATTATTATTTTACTCCATTTATTTTTTCTACTAATTATTATGCCTTGCTCATTTTTATGCGATACAGTCACTTCTTCATGTAATACTATAATACAAAATCGCTTCCCCCTATTCATACGCCTACATCTATTAACAGATTACGTCCATCTTGAATAGACGCTATAACACTTAAGTGTTAAGCATGTGTTTTGTGATGTAATTAAAGTTTGCAGGTATTACCTTATTAAGTCACGCGTTCATATAGTAGCCAGTTACAAATTTGAATGAAATTGTAAAATTAATTAAAATCCATTAGTGTTGTTACTATCATGATTCCTACTATTTAACGATATGAACTAAAATTGAATTCTAAGTAATAATATAATGCGAAATTAAATAGTGCTTAAAATTATGTATGAATAATTAATTATTTATATTTCTAGTATCCAGTATCTCGTTAAAATGTTTTGAAATAAAAATTATTAGTCATATTATATGTAACTGTAATAATGTTATAACTACATATAATATTATTTCTCTTATATACACATATGGGTACGTATATATGCATTACTCATCTGTCAAAAATAGATATGTATAAAATAGATAGTTTTTTATGACACTGTTGTCATAATCATTATTTTGGATAGAAGCAAATATAGATTGTAGTACAACACTATGAATATTCATTTATTTCTTTGTGTTGTTACTTAGAAAAGGTAACATGAATTTAATTTCAGGTTTTATGAAAGCTGCTGCAACACTTGTATCTAACGATACCATGTTCTGTAGCAATGGATAACTAGCCGAAATTTTATAACTCAACTAACCAACTAGTTTGTTCTAATAAACCGGCTAAATAGCTAGCTAGTTATTGAATGAAAAAAATATATAATCGACTCAATAATGTTAACATTAGCATTAGCTATTTAGTTGAATAACTCTACCCAACTGTATTTCATCGAATTAGATCCTCAATGCAGTAACATATAAGTTAATTATTGCATTTCTTTTTTATTTCTTTTTTTTAATCAATAAACAACGTTTTTACCATTATTATATTAGTAAAATTCTTAATATTGCCCATAATGGTGTCACATATGAAACGAGTTAAGAAGTTTTTGTCCTATCAACCATAATCGAATGCATAAACTCAAAATTTAAGTTCATAGATATCACAGATGACTTTACTAATGACTAATTTTTTTTTATTAATAAATCAATCAACCTAGTGTAGTAATAATGCCCACAAAGTGGTTTCTTGAAAAAAAAAAAAATAAAAGCCCAAAGTCGCAAAGTTGCAGGATCATGTTATTGGTTACTGCAATAAGAGTCAAACTCGATGCAATGGAGCTGAATAGTTATTCAACTGATAAGTTATATGTTAGCATACGCTATCGGCTTGGACGCTTACCGCTAGCTACAGCAGCTAGCAACTAGCTATCAGTTAGCCGCCGTTGCTACTGGTAATCGTCCGAATTACTATAGTGGTTAAATGTAGTTGCGAGTAGCGGAGCATAAATCCGAATGATTTCATTATTCAAATAAGTAGTTATTACTAATTTTATAATTCGACTGCTTAATTAGTTTTTTTTTTTTTTTTTTACAACACAGGGGCCAACGATTATGCGGCTCACCTGATGGCAAGTGACTACCGCCACCCATGCCGCACACCAACGGCATTGCAAACGTGCTGCCGGCCTTTTAAAAGGGAATATGTTTTTTTCTTGAAGGTTACGATGTCATATCGGTTCGGAAATACTGCTGCTGGAAGTTGATTCCAAAGAGTGTTTGTGCATGGAAGAAAGTGCCTTGAAAAACGCACAGTGGAAAACTTGTCCAGATGGTTGGGATGAAACTTTAGTTTATGGCGGGTTGTACGGTGGTGAAAATTAGCAGCAGATCTCAATCCAAACAATTCCTCAGAGCACTCCCCATGATAAATTTAGTAGAAGATGCACAGAGATGCAACATCTCTGCGCAGTTTCAGTGGGTCGAGCCGGACAGTAAGGCGCTGATTATCAATAATTCAAGCCGCCCGACTTTGGATGCGGTCTAACGGAAAGAGCTAGTACTGTAGCGCTCCTGTCCATAAATGAGAGCAGTATTCCATATGCGGCCTGAATAAGCATTATACAATTTCATGTAAATGTTGTAATGTACTAATTTTCGTACTCCAGTGGTTTTACTAATTAGCAAGTCGATCTAAACGAATAATAAGGAAAAAAAGTGGTTTTAAATACCTGTAGCTATTTAATAGATACAACTGTATACCTGTATATTTATCTCTATAATAAATTAATTTAATTCACCTTTTCTTCACATATATGTATATCTACTTGTAGCGAACTCTTTGCTACATTTTTATATTCTTATTGTCATTCGAAATTTATATATTTTTTTGACATATTGTTTTTACATATTGTTTAAAATATATTTTGCTAAGTCTGTCCCCTCATCTTTTCTGTAGTTTTCCATTCTAAAATCCTCTCATTGCATATTAAAAGTATTATCTCCGTTTCACTATTAATTAATGATTTTAATAATTAGTATAAGCAGTATAGCAAATGAATAAAATTAGTAGTCATATGATTTTCGTATACATTCGAATAATTTAATTTAATTTAATTGCGAATTTATTAATACGACTATTAATAAATAATTAATAGCCGTATTAATAAATTCGCAAATCGCTAGTCGCCAGTTGGCGGTTAGTCATTCTGCGTTACCGTTCGATATAGCTGTAACCAGTAACTGGTTACGCCAACGACTGCATAGCTGGGCATCAGTATAACTAATTATTACTATTGTACAGTGATTACTTTCTCTGTTAACGTGCTGTGGTGCTTCTGTAGACATTGTGTCTTTAATCTGTGTTTTGGTTCCTGTTCATCATACTTGTTTTTATCGTCTTATTTTAAAATTCTTGATTGTACATTTGTTGACCTTTAAACCTTTAATTCTATATAGAATTTGAGTTTGGATTTACATTCTAATAATAGATAAACAATAAAACTTATCTGAATAGATCGGCTGACGAGGCAGGTTTTTAAGGTTTAGTTCGTATCTTCGAGCGGCTTTATTCCAAATGGAGGTAAACTAAAATATGAAGAAAAAAAAAACTCTTTGTATTTTTTTCTTTATATTTTAATAGACCAATTAAAAATTTACATGTTTTATCTTTTTTTAGATTGAAATATTAAACATTGTTAATTCTAAACCATTGGGAAAAATTACTGTAGCAGACGATGCTACCATTAAGAACGTAAAAGATAAGATTCATCAAAATTTAAAAAAATCTCTTTATCCTAGTCGGCAAGCTATAAAAGTCGAGACGAAAGGAAAAGTATTAAAAGATGAAGATACTCTAAAGTCTCTAAATATTCAGAGTGGTGCCAAATTATATTTAAAGGATCTCGGCCCTCAAATTTCATGGACTACTGTGTTTTTAGCTGAATATGCAGGACCTCTTTTTGTTTATATATGGGTCTATCAGAGACCATGGCTGCTGTATGGGGATGTTTCCTTATCTCATGGAACTGTTGCTAAGTATGTTGTTCTCCTAATACATTTAAAATAATTGTTAAAACCCGATTAAGTAATTAATTTAATATTTTTCATGTATTTTATAGGGTAGCAGCTATTTGCTGGTCAGGCCATTATGTCAAGAGACTTTTGGAAACTGTTTTTGTGCATCGATTTTCACATGGCACAATGCCTCTACGTAACCTATTTCGTAACTGTGCATATTACTGGCTATTCACACTGTATGTGGCCTATCATATCAACCATCCTATTTATACAGCCCCAAATAACTTGTATTACTATGTTGGTCTTGGTGGATTTATTGTAAGTATGCCTTTTAGAAATTAAAACTATAATTAATAAGAATCATAATTAAAAACAAATGCAATAGTATGATGCTAGCCATAATATTTGTTTTCATTGTTATATTAAACAGCCAGTTTTCCTATCTTGTTTTCACATCTGTAATGTTGTACTCATTCTTAAATATATTTACATGTATGTCTACTCTTTTAAGTCGCCAATACTTGAAAAAGATATTTGATTAAAGTAATGTAAATTATACATTAAAAATCCTTAACATTATAATTTTATTAATAAAAAGCTTGTAACGCATATCTATTGAAACACTTATGTAAAAGTGTAGGTTATGAAAAAATTTACAGTTATGTACAAAAGTTATATACAAAAATTATGAAAAAGAGAAAACATTTAATTAATAATATAATATCCTACACTCCCCATCTCGTGCGGTCCTGGCATAGAATAGGACAACCCTTCCTTTCCTGTGGGTGTTGTATGAAGCAACTAAGGGATGGGCAGTAGTGTCTCTCTTAAAACATCTCCAAAGCCTAACTGTGGTTGCCAATCAGCCTTCCAAGAGTGGCAAGTACTGGCAAAACCCCCCTAGAGGGAGGCTTATACTCACTTAGGCTTATGTTTAGCAGTGGACAGTTAAAAGCTGACATGATGATGAATCCACACTCCAGCAGCCTGACTAGTGCAGTTTTGCCGAAAATTATTGTTAAGGTGTGTGGTTTTTTCAAACCACGACACTAAACTTTAAAGCTTTAAGAAACTGACTGACTTTCAGTAAAAAAAATAACTTAATTTTTTAAAATTAAAACATTATTTTTATTCAATTTGAAAAACTGAATAAAAATAATATGATGTTAATTTTTTATATACAATAATGGATATTGGAAATGTAATGAATTTAATGTGTGTCATTTCCATCAATTGGTTCAATATGATTTGGAATTCTTCTGACACAGTGTAGCCTAAACCATCAGTGTTAAAAATCTAAAATTTTGTATTAAGTTGCTTTCATTATGTGAGAAAACAGAAATAAGAAATTTGCATAGGCAGTCAGTTTCTAAATTAAACTTTATAATTATTATTTTAAACAACGAATATTGTTTAATGTTATGTTAATTATTCCCAATACTGAAAATAAAAAATTTCCTTTCCATGTTTTATAGGGCTCAATGTTATCTGTGTACTTTTTACCAGTCTCATAATTTTGAAATGTATATCTTTAAGAAATGATTTTCATCTAGGCATTTTAATTGTATAGCTTTTGTCAGATAGCAAGTAGTGAAGATCATGAAGTGCATGTCATCGACATCACCCATCCTACTTTACAAAAATCTTCAAATAAAGACAAGAGGTCAACCGAGAGGTCAATCGATTCAAATATATATTCACGTTATCAAAAAAACTTATTGTCTTATGCAATGATAAATACGCCAATGCGTATTTAAGATTATTTTCCAGGGGAACTTGGCGCTCTTACAAAAGCGCATATTTACTCTCAAGCATATCTATGCGAACCTTCGCTTGCAACCTGTGATAGGCAACAGACGATTCGAGAGTGGGCATGGCCCACTTGGACTCTCTAAATACGCCTGAAGTAAAAAGAGACAAAATTTGAAAAGATATCATAATATACCATATTAATATATTAGAGATCATGAATCTTATAAATTATGTATAATTATGTAAACATAGGTAGATGTGAGACATTTGTTAAATTTATATATTCTAGTTACGCCAATTTGTAATAAAACAGATTGATCTTAATATGGTATGTCCTTATAAAATCGCGCTGATTTCGCGTCGCCTCTCTTTATCTCTGTAAATGTAATTACACTAAACTTATAACTTACATTACCCGTCTAGGTTCTATGTTAATAAACTTACAGGATATAAAAAAAAAAAACAAGTAATGGATGTCTAATATTACCTCAAAAACCAGACTGTTCCACTACTTATAATTACATAATTAAATTTTATACAAATCATTACTCATTTCAGGTGTGTGAGTTGGGCAATCTTAGTATTCATCTCTTGCTTAAGAATCTCCGTCCTCCTGGCACTAAAGTGCGACGTATTCCCGTACCAGATGGCAACCCACTTTCTCTACTCTTCAACTTTGTGTCCTGTCCTAACTACACATATGAAGTTGGGTCTTGGATATTCTTCACCATCATGACTAAATGTGCTCCAGGTAAGTTATTTAGATTAAAAGCAATATAATGTAGACATACGAGTACATGATACATGTGTGCATATATATAGAATGGTCCTGATTTACCTGCACTGACACTGACTCACTGCAATACATTTACGGGTATTATCGGTACAGTGCAGATCGACTCTTTGTTTTATGCGCATTAGTACAACTGTCCATAGAACTTCTTGAATTCACTCAAATAACCAATGATTACAATTCATAATTATTTGATGCTTAGTATTTTAGGCCAATACACAAATTTTACTTCTTTATTTTCTTTGAATCACATTAGTATATATTAAAGTTATTTAAATAATTTGGGGTATTATGTGATAATATATAATTCTTAATTCAGTGTTACATTACAAAATAGAAATTACTTTTGTGTAATTACTGTAAATATTTTCAACTCTCTCCACAATCAATTAAATGCTTCAGTATTTAAATTTTTTTTTTAAACCACTGAGGTAGCAAACAAGTATACAGTCCACCTAATAGTACGCGGTTACCTATTAGCCTATGAACGCATACAATACCAGGTTAAATACTTTATTTATTTGGCTTTATTGTACTTTTCCAAATTATCGAAAATTAAAATTTGTATCTACAAAAAAATATTTATGACAAATTTTTTTATTATGACCAGTTATTTTGATCAAAAAACCAAACAATTTTGATAAAAATTTTGTGGGACCAATCTGCAAGAATATCCTTACAGATGAAAAGAGAATTTTCCAAATCTATTTGTAATCGACAGAATTATTAGATAACAAACATAAAAAAAATTATTATTACTGGAACTAATTGGTTTCAGCTAAAATTTTGCGTACATTTATGCAAAATTACAGTTGAATCGTATGTCAAGTGGTTCTACAAATTAATAAAAACTTGTAAAAATGTAGACAGTGAGCGAACCTAATAATTACTTATGTAATTAGCGTATTTAATTATTAATTAGGGGGGTTGGCCCCTTAAAAAAGGTTAATCTACGTTCAGATAGAACGCTTAAAACTTATAGTATGAACACTCATAATAATATTCACAAAGGTCATCTAGCTATTGATACATTTGGTCTTGCAATTTGTTTATAAATTGGTTGGCGCTTGGTGGATGTCTAAAAAATTAAGCGAATCGTATACTTGACCGCTACTTCCATTGTTCAAAAACCCTTGTGTATACTTGTGTACTCATTACAATATTCGAATGTAATAAGTATTCTTTGAATGTAATACGTAGTCAGTTTTAACTTTGTTAATTGATCTCTTGACCTTGTATATTTTGTATTACCTTTCAAAAGAGTGTATGTAAATATATACGGCTATTTAGATGGGTATCCATCCGAAGTATGGAGTGAAGTAGTATCTAAAGAATTTCAACACGAATCTAAAATTTAATATACAAACATGACAGTGTACAATTTGTCGTATTTCTTTGATATACCATAAACTTAATTTTTTTAATTGCAAATACGGAACTTAACTTTTTTTATTTCAGCGGGTCTCTTCGCATTTGCTGGTTTCTACCAAATGGCTGTGTGGGCGATCGGAAAACATCGCAACTACAAGAAGGAATTCCCGGAATACCCTAAAGGCCGTAAAGCTATCATACCTTTTATTCTTTAATTTCGCATAATTATGACAAAAATACTTTAATAGCTACTAGGTAGTTTTGTTATTTACAATTATTATGAACTCGGGTGTCGAATATTAAGATCGGTGATGGTTGTTATTTATTTGTATGTGGGTTGTATGAAAGAAGGAGTAATTAGCGAAGAATTAATTAAGTAGGTGCAATGGATTTTTATATTATCGGAATATAACGGGAACTAGATGATTTAATATATTTTAATATAATTTTGTTTTATTTTCTTTTATAATTCTGTTTAAATAATTATAAAAAAATTGTACATGATTCCATTTTGTTAGTCACAATTTGCATTTATGCTAATAATAAAATGGTAAATTTATCTGGTGTATATTTATTAAATATAAGCCACATTTTTTATACATTAATACAATATTAAAACATGCAATTAGATAGTAATTAAGATAAGTAAGTGGATAAGATTAATGTTCATCTTTAGTGACCTCTGTATCAGCATCTGGAATCTTCACAGATTCATCCACACATCGCACTTTACTGAGCAAACGTTCATTTTCTTCTTTCAGAGCAACTATTATCTCTTCACGTTCCTATAAAAATATATAACCAAATACATGAATAATTAGTTTACTTATTAGGGCTTCTTACCAAAAAGGTACAAAGGAACCCTTGTGGTGCGACTTTGTCCGTCTATCTATCACAGTGTTATAAATGAGCGACTACTAATGCTATCGATATAAAATTTGGAATGGTTTTTACATATTACTGACCCACACATATTTCAAGGGATATAATTGAAAAAATATTTATTTTCTTTGCTAGTGCCCTTTTGGACCCCAAAGAAGTACTCAAAATATCTAAAAAAAAAATCACCTAGTCCAAATGGTATATTATATGAACATGCTTAATTAGTACATTTTAAAACTAATTTATATTTATTTGTATGCTGTGTAGTTTTTCAATTATGAAAGAAGATATTGAAAATGTAGGAAAAAAAACATACTTCCCATAGTTTCTTAAACAATAAATCTGAAATAATTACTGTCTATATGTGTGAATATTACAGGAAAAATAAAACAAATTGTCTTAAACCTCCAAAAACAAAGTTATCTAGTTGACTACAGTTATGACCCAATATAAGAAACTACGAATTGTAATTTCAATAACTATCAGATGTCTATTTCGTATAAAAAATGCAATAAAAAGCTCTATATCACATGTATATATTTATGTTAATGTTTACAGAACCCTCGACGTATTAGTTTAATTGTGAGATTGACCGGTTTTTATTGTTTGTTTGTTGTCCATAACCAAACAGTCCTGTTATGGTAAAATACTTTTTGTAAATATTAACCGTCATAATCAAAGTTCTTCCTGCCCTTTTTCCTTATATATTTGAGATCGGCCTTAAATGTAGGGTCTAGTCCAATGTTTTTCAAGTTTTTTCATGACACGACTAGTACGAAAAAAGGTACCGAATTACCCCAGGGGGCCATCACTCACGCGTTGAAAAACACTGGTCTGGTTTATTCAAAAATATAACAAATACAATAAACCTAAAAAATAAATAACATTATTATCATAGGAATAACCATTATTTAAAAGATGTTTAAGGTATGTATGGAAACTGGGGCAGATTGTATTTCATTTGAAATTCTAACAAGTATCAAAAATACTTTAGTTTCAGTGGTAATTTTGACTTATTGCTATTTCTAAGGTGTGTGATGTGACGCAGTTAAAAAATACTGGAATTTTGTACCTGTGAAATAATAGATAAAATAAATTTATTTTATTTTCCTGAATTATTTAAGATACCAAATATGAAGAATCTCGTTTCGATGAAAACTGCTGGAAATTGCGAAATGTCGATTGTCGAACTATGAAACACCTAAGGTATATAATAGGTCACATGGTGTATAAGAAATATTACTATAATGTACTCACCTCGACTTTCTGTTTGAACTTTTCATCGAGTTTCTCCCTATCCTCTGTAACATGCTTGAGCTTGGCGCGAGCTGTGGCTGGTGGGATGTACCGCGCAGACAATCCTAAGATCGACTCCATTTGGAAACATCGCGTACGTGTTGATTTGAGTTCCGTTCGCAAATTATTAATTTCTGTGATAAGTGTACAGTTTTCCTAAAATGAAAAACATATTTTTAACTAGCAACCCACCCCTTAGGAAAACTTTTTTTTAAATAAAATTCATCATATGTTACTCGCTAATATTGTAGCTTCCTATAGACGAAAGAATTCCTAAAAACGTTTGTATTTTTTTAATTTAACAAACAAACAAATTTCCTCTTTGTAGTTTTATGCTTGTTTTATGTTTGTAGCTTTATGCTATTAATACATAACATGATAGCAAAATAAATCCATTAATAACAATAACAGATACACTTTTCATATAAACAAATGTTATGATATTATATAACTTAGGCGCAATCTGCTAAAATCACTTATTTACAACAAGTCTATCTACATATAGATATTTGAAAATACAATTAAACAAAAGGTCATTTATTGTAACAGTTTGCAAAATGGCGATCTAACTTAATAACTAACGTCCATAATTTTTCCAATATCGCTCTTGGAACCTCCAACGGACTTGGAGAGCTGCTGTTTGAGCGCAGCGACTTGCTTCTCCAAATGGTCACGTTGTCTGTTAAATTCTCGTATTGCTTCGTCCTCCGCTATTCGACTTCGTACGAAGTCTATATCCTCGACGTACTTGTGAAAAAGGGCCTGTAATTTTAATGTACGTATGTATGAGACACGGATGCGATGTGTAAGGACGTATAAACATTACTCTCAGGACTGGCGTAAATATGATTGGCAATGCCCAATCTACCTAATTCGCTGTTCCAGACAAAAATGAATAATTAATGACTATGTTAACTTGTAGTGAATTTATTTTGCCCCTCTGAGCATTTGTCTGACTGGCTCTCCCTTAATCAAGTCCTTTTGATTAGCAATAGGTACGACTTTCATTAACAATCAACTAACACAAACCGTACTAATCTAACATATGAATGGGCGAGGCTATTGGCGTCCCACTTATTCTTATCATTCTCATTATCGCATTGTATCATAATTTTTAAATGATTTTAGGAGGTTTTCCATTCAACGTAATTTTTTTGGCTTACTCCTATATTAACTTTATTTTTGTACGACTTCAAAAAGAAGGAGGTTCTTAATTCGGTTGTATTTTTTATGTTTATTACCTCATAACTCGGTCAGTTATAAACCGATTTGGAAAATTCTTTTTATCTGAAAGGATAAAAAAGAATTCAGATTGATTCTTTTTTATCCTTTCAGATAAAAAAGAATCAATCTGATCAGAAATTTTATTAAAATCGATTAAATAGTTTAGTTTTTAAATGCGAATAACTTGATTTGCCATGACTGGGTTAGGTGTTTTTTGTACAATACAATTTTAAATTATGTTAAATACATTAAATGTGTCGTAGTTTTCTTTTTGCAGAAAGAAAAATTGGTACTTCGTATTCTCTGTAAATTAACTTCTATTTGTATACATGTACATTATGTACCTATACTTTTATATTACAAAAAGCTTACTTTAACATTCAATTTCAACTTAACCGGATCTTGAAAATTTGCAGTCATGTTGTGTAAGTCTATTTTAATTTTTTTCAGAGTATTTTTCAATGTCAAGTTTCTTTCGGTTTCGCTCAAAAAATCTTTTTTAGCAGATGCCAGTTTCTCATTCAGTTGATTAATTTTAAGCTCTGTAATATTTAAATATATAACATTAACCTATAATTTGTGGATGAAGTATGTAAATAAATATGAATTACTACATGTGAACATAGGTTTATATGTAGGTGCAAAAATTAACGTTCTACTGTGACTTCGTAAATTGTGATGACACATATTTATTTGTATTGAAAATATTAGTTCAGTGTTTGGTTAGATCGTTTGCATTTACTTACACATGTATTACATATATGTTGTAGCTGTTAAAAATCAACTAATATAATTATGGAAGAAGATTGTTTTGGCATTTATGAATGTGAGTGAGTGAGTTTAACGGTCTGAATTTACGAAATTGTAAAATTCAAATATGTAGTTGAATAATTTATATGTTGGAAGATTTCTGTTACAACTGGTGTATCACGACACTATAGATTTATAAAATACTTTATCCAAATGAAACTATCCTCTAATTTTTTTACTACGTCTGTAGCATAATGATCATGCCTTGCGTAAATAAGGTCCCAAATTCGATACATGATTTAACCTGTCGAGTAGCTTTAAACAATTAAATAATTGTACAATTCAAGCACAGGAAGTGAACTTTTAAAATTTGTCATTATCTTTATTAAGTAGAGTTGTTTAAGTTTGTGCAGTGTGTAGGCAAGTAAGTAGATATGTGTGCATTTACGAATTACGACAGATGTCGCGTACCATGAAATGTTTAGCATAGATTATTGCCCTGCGGCTTGATTAGGTAATTCTATTGCTAACAGTTCTCATTTTAAACTACAGATATTTAAATAAATACCACAACTGGATGTAGATATGTTATTTACGTGTCTATTACAACTCTTAAGTTTTGCGCAACAGAGAAACAACTTGAACAAATTTCGATTCGGAGTAAGATTAAGAACTATAAACTACGTAGAACATGAAGATTTATGTCGAAAATTTTGGAGAATTAACAAATACAACATAGATTTAATGCGAGAGATTTGTTGTCAAAGATTACCTAACTACTTGTTATGCTTTCAACTTATAGGTTTTTGAAACAAAATAAAAAGATAGTTTTACGATTATGTATAAAGCTTTCATTTGATAGATTAGATATAATACAATCCTCATAACATAAAATAACGAATCACAAATTAACTGTTAAATATTAGGTATATTCATAATCGTAAAACAGTCTCAGTTTCAAACGTGAATTGTCAGCAACGAAGTTAAGTAATTTAGTCTCTGTGCATTTAGTGCAATTAATGAAACGCTCAGTATTATATGAATTTGAAAATAAGCGCACTATCTTTATAAAAAATGTTAAAACATTTTAACAAAATTTAAGGAGAATCATTATAATCCCCTGAAGTGGTGTGGATCAGTATGTGATATGTCATCATAATAATGCCTATTTAATCAAAAAACAATAGTTTTTTTTTTTTCGTAATAATTAACTAAAACACACAAGGTAACTCCCATGAGTTATAATTTTTGAATTGATGAAATTAATTTGAATTCAGTCTGTTTTGTTTTAAACTCATAAGTAGGATTTCATGTCTCTAGCATTGCTTTGGGGGATTACAATGATTTTCCTAAAACCCTGTATTTTATTTACTACGAGAGTTAATGCGTGTATATGTAGTAGAACATTATAAACAAGGAAAAAAATTACAACTGGCTACTACGTAATGGAAATCTAATTACCACGAAAATCTTTTTGCTTTAAAAGAGTTTCAAGGGATACTTCCAACTCGAGTATGCGCAACTTTTTTTCTTTGATTTCGCGTTCTATCGGCTCTATCTGTGCGGAAGCAAGGAATAGAATTGTTACAGCTGTAACTTTTTTCATATTCTGAGTGTGGTTATGTTATTCTAAGTTTTCTACTATGGACTACGATAACGGTTCGTACTCTTTTCGTACCAAGATCGTGCTTTACGTTTAATAATTTTAACTCTTCATTTTCCATGTCGTCTATTTGAACTTTCAACTCTCTTATAGTTCTTTGTTTAGGTTCAATCTACACATACAATCAAATATAATATTAAGTACCTATAAAAGATTTATCTCGGCTTTAATAGGTAGGTATTTGAAATCGGGTTTGTCTAACTAGTTTCTGACTCTAAAGAGCCCCTATTCCTTAGCAGGGTTCGATTAATATTGTTAGCATTTTATCGATCAATTTGAATATGATATAATATGACACTGTTAGCCAATGGGAAAGGCTGGAATAGAAGCTAAAACGACATAAATTTACCCAGAACTGTGTGTAAGGATAGAAGCCGTGGAATTTTTTTTTTTTTTGCTAAGCCGTCTTATATGTAACAAGTACAAAAGTTAGTACAAGCACAGATAATATAATGCTATATTTAGTAGCATGACAAGATACGCTTTATATATAATCAAGTCTGTCATACTATAGAACTAATACTATAATCAGACATAACTACTAATCTCATTAATAAATAATGTATTCTATAAAAAAATATCTCCTCAACGTCTTCAAAGTTCCTCAAAGAAGTCAACGAATAAAAGTACAGTTAAGAAACAGTTACGATGATAGCTGAAAAGGATAAAACTAATTATTATCCCTATTAAATAAATATTACAAAACTATAGCCACCTGATTTTTTAACTCAGTTATCTTGAAATTCAATACAAATTTATATTTTTCTAATTCTTGTTTCTTCCTTTTTAATTCATATATTCTCTTTTCTTTGTCTTGAATAGTGCCATCTCGCTCCGATATTTCTTTTTTCAAATCAGCCACGTCACGTTCCAATGTTGATATAACTTTTTGGAATTGTTTATGTTCAGCTGAAAGAGTAAGATAAATGTAAATTTTGTCTTAATTTAATAGGATTTAGGATTTTTTATTTACATCAAACATGTAATTTAAACTGTTTTAATCTACGTTTTTAATATTTGTCTTTACGTCTTACAAGGCAGCAAGAGAAGACCGAATGATCGTGACTCAATTTTTTTACACTATATATACATACATACTATTTATTTGCAGTTAATAGGCAATAACATTTGTTTTATAACATAAATCACCTTTTAATTGGGATACTTGATGTTTAAACTCGTCAATCTCTTTATTGGCACTTATCAGTTTTTTCTTCATGAGACCGGTCTCTCCCTTTAACCGTACATTAGCATCCTTTTCTTCTTTCAGTTGAACCTCATATGCTGTTCTGATTTCTATTATTTCACGATCCGCATCCTCTTCAATTGATGCTTTTATAGTTTCATGCTCCTTTGTTTCCATATCAGCTTGCTCTTGCAACTAAATACATAATAATTAACAATTGTAAATAAATTAAACAGTATTATATTTATAATCCATAAATTATCGTCATATCAGCCTTTAACTGTCCACTGCTGAACATTAGCCTCTCCCTTGCCAGTAGTTGCCACGCATGGCAGGCCGATTCGCAACCGTAATCAAGTTTTAGATATGTTTTAAGAGAGACGCTGCTGCCCATCCCTCGCCCACCCTTAGTCGGCTTTTATGTCACCCACAGGAAAGGTAGGGGTGGTTTATTTTATGCCGGGACTACACGGCCAAATCATCCATAAATACATAAATTTAATTTTACAAGTATTTTTTACAGAAATAGCCGTATTATTTTTTTAACATTAGAACAAAAAAAACTTGTAAGAAGAAAAAGAAAACATTGGTAAGTTGTTAAATCATGATAAAATATGAAATTATTCTGGCTATAAGACCTGAATTAATTTAATTATAAGAGTTTTAGTTTACTTTGCATATTTTGTAATACACTTCATGTGTAAACTATTGGATTAATCAAACACACGTAGATGAAAATTTCTTAGATATAACTACGTTACCTCTTGTAAAAGAGTGTCTTTTTCTTCCAATTTTGCTTCAAATATATTATTCAATTCTCTTAAAGCTTGCCGCTTACTTTCGGCAAGTTCCTCGAGACGCTGTTCATAATCTTTTCGCATTCTGGCCGCTTTGTCCTCGAGACTCTACACATAAATACAAGTAATTGCAAAATGACCCATAAGTGATATTTCCTCATTGTCATACGCATATAAATATGTATTATTGCTATACCTGATATCTGTCGTACTCGCTAATGAGTTTGACATTGAAATCTGCTTCCAAAGCTTGCAGTGTTCTCTCATGTCCTGAGCGGAGTTTGGCAATATCTTGTTGAATCATTCCTATTTCATGAGTATGCTCATTTTCCATTTGCTGTAATTTGATTTAGAAATGCAATTATTTATAATAATAACTGTAAGCCATAATATTACTTTTTTTTATTTAATTGTAATAAATTACCTCATTCTTTTCCTTTAGCTCTTCGATTGCAGCACAATAGCCTTCGTGTACTTCTTTTAATTTTTCCGCTTGGGTCGCTTCAGCCTGACGTAACTGATACGTATGTTCGGTTTCTAACTCACTCATCCTGGTACTAAGTAACTGGAATTATATTTAACTAATCTGTAGTTGGCGTACCTACCGTCTAAAATAAACTCCGAGATTTTGTATCAATATGTGGTTAGGTCAGTTATTAATAACTTTCATATACTAAACTAAGCAATATTCGATAAAATTTCTAAAAATAAATGTGGTTAAGAGCAATAATGACTGGTACATTCGTCGTACTCGTGAACCGGAATTACTTGTGGGAATATAGATCCTGATCGCTTCTATTCACTACCCCTGATTTGTTTCTTACTTAGCTCCTTAAACATACAATAGAATCATTAGAAATGTTTTATACAAGAAATATTAAAAAAAACTAATTTTAATCCAAATAGAGGCCACGAATTAAATTAAAAATTATAACAAGTACGTGAATTTAGAACTGTCGCATGAATTATTTACAATGCACGTACATTAGTAGTGCATTATTTTCTTGTCTCATTTTTATGAATGCATTTTCAGTCTGACAGGGCATTATACTATGTCTATGTTGTCAAATATATACATTTTTATGATCTTGTGCTATTTAGTAATTTGTATTTACATAAATTGTGAATGTAAATTCTTGTTAACTGCAATATCATTTCGAATCATTACAAGTGACTATTCAAAAATTCTTAAAATTATGTTTACCTGTAGGTATAAAAATAATTTCTATTCTAATTCATTGTATAATTATTACATAATAATAATAATTAAATAATCATATATACAATGAATACATAGGTATCTAAGACTTATTTTATGTGTTTGGGACTAATTAATATACTGGAAGGCCCGCTCGTGTCTATAAATGAGACACGAACGGGTACGAATTAATATAAATTATATTGACATTCTTTAACCCAAAGAGGAAGATGTTTTTTTATATCCACTGCTCTATATTAGAAATAGAAATTACATTAATACTGTTTATTTTTTCCTGCAAATCCTTTTTGCTTATCAATATCTCTTTTGAATACGCAAAATCCTTATCCAGAGCGATCGCTCGTCCATCAGCGTTAGTAAGTCGCCACAAGCAAATAGATGCATCTTCAGCCACCGATACCAACGTCTGATCATCATAAGCCAGCGCGATACAAGTAACCTTTTTGTTATGCATATGAAACTCATTGAATATTGCCTTGTCTAAGAGTGGCAATTGAACAGAGGTGACGCCTCCTTTACCGCCGGTAATGAATAGCATCATGTCAGATCGGGACAATACTATAGTGTCCAGAGGACAATTTATTAGTCCCAAATTCCTTCGTATTGAATTTGAACCAATTTCTTTGATTTCTCCGTCTGATCCGACACCATAAGCAATTTTCCCAATACTGAAATAAATATTATTATTAAATATATTGTTTTATACTATATCAACCGTCTTAAAAAAAGAAGTTCTCAATTCGGTATTTTGTTTTTATATTTCTTACTTTATAACTGTGTCAGTTATAAATCGAATTGGAAAATGATTTATTTATCTGAAAGGATTTAAATATATATTCTTTATTGCACTTGTAAAAAAAAAGAACTTCGAATAGAATATTAATAAAATAAACATACATAAATTGTAAATAAATATATATTATGTCACAGATAATATAATACTATACTAGTAGTTATCTGCAAATACAATATATATCATCATATCATGATATGTATCATATCAGCCGTTAACTCTTCACTGCTGATCATGAGCCTCTCCCATAAGGGGAGAGTTTTCTGTTATGTTCGTAATTCAAAATTTCAAAGTACTTATACACCAGTTGGTGCATTGTTATATCAATATTTTTTATACATAAAATTAACAATAAATGGAATAAGTTTAGACCTGTTGACGGCGCAAGCATTGAATTGATTGGTTTTTAATATAACTTCTCCCACTCTTTGTCCAGTGGACATACTCCACTCGTACACAGCGCCCTCTGTACCACAGGACACTAATGTTAGATCATTCGCAGACCACGCTAGAGATGTTATCTGAAAAAAATAATACAACTAATATTTTTTTGCCGTTTTACATGGTCCTACAAACCTCATCTATCAGGCTACTAATACATTTTTCTAATTGGTACAAAGATTTAACAGTTTTTATTTTATTCTTTTTTCATTGATATACTTTATTCAATAAAAAGATATGCTGTCCTGTTATTGAATAAATTCGTTTAAAAATATAACACATAGATCATAATGAGTATTAATTAGTTATTATAATTAAAATTATTTTATTTTTTTCATGCACTATTATTACGATGAATAGAGCCTAAATATGTACTAAGAATAGAAAGCTAAAAACATGTATTATATTTTTTTGCATGGTTAGTGTAATAAATGGGTAAGTGTTATAATTTTTAAATTACTGATTGATTAATTTAAATTACTAAGTAAATAGAAAAAGAAAATTGGAATAAGTAGACACGAAAGTAACTGCTAGTGTAGAAATATTCCACTAACCTTTAGACTAAGAGAACTAGGTACCTTCCGCATAAACATTAATTATTGCATTATTATCAGATCATTGTATTTATTATTAGATAGATTATCATATGAATTGAAACAAAAAAAAAAACCATTACTTGCATAAATGTTTATATTCAATTATAATAATTATGATGCATTTAAATATTTTTTATGCCTTTACGTATGTCGGGGATTAAATTAATAATGACCATTAGCTCAATTTTTTTTTACTATCTGTAAAAAATTGCTTCAATACATTTAAGTATGCAAGCCTACATACCCTCCCATTATGTCCTTTTAAGTTATAAACATTTTGAAATGAGATCGAGGAGAACACTTGGATGACTTGGCTATTAACTGCAGCAAACATTTGTCCGTTTGTACTAAACTTCGCACATTTGCAATTTCTGATAGGGAACTCTCGCATTACTTCAAAGTCGTCTATCAGTACCACCATAAATCGTAATTTGTCGGAAAATCCAACTATCGCAAATAAACCTAAAATAAAAAAATATGTCTTAATTATCACATGTAGAAATGTCATCTGACGAAGAAGAATACAACAATAAATAATAATATAACGAAGTGCCCGGTTGCCGAATTTCTAAGTTTCCGAATTCGAATCCAGTCAATTCCAAAAACTTTCAATTAAATTTACCGAACTAAACACCGATATTAAACCAAATGAATCCGAGTGACGGCCTACCACCGTCATTCGGAACCATCTTCCACGCTGTATTTCAATATACTCGGAGAAAAGTGAATTATATCCAGTATTACATTCGATACAACGGCTAGAATCAACCAATGTCTTTGTCAACAAATTCTCTTTTCAGTTAATTGTATTCATGGACCATATTGACACTGTTCACTCAAGATTACGTGTTATAATAAAAAAAGTACTTGCTGACGTACATTACGTACTCTCTACGACTACGATACGATCTTGAGATCCTTGAACCGCAAGCAAGCGTTGTTTAATTGAATTATAACCTTTCTACCCTACGTACTTGGACGTCAAATTATCGTAATTCACAGATCTCTCCCTCCAGGTTATTAGTAATAGTCTGTTTTTCAGTCTCACCTATCACTCCTCACTGGTGCCCCACCAGTGTATACCGACAGGCAGGGTCACTATTTCATTTTCAACCCTTAACTTACACCGCCTACCCCACCTTTCTCTCGAATATTAGTACTATGTTCCGTGTAATAGAAGCAGAGTCGAAATAACTAAACTGATCTTAAATCTGTCGATCACCCACCGGTTGGATGCAAAGAAACACAATGTATCTCTTCTTGATACAGTTTGATCATTTCTACATCATCGGTCATATAATTCCATATTCTAATGCTTTTATCCAATTCTCCCGATGTCATGAATATTGGTTTCCATGCGCACATAGATAACGAGTTTATAGGACCATAGTGCATCGCTGGCCCAAGTTCGGCAAAAGCAATTTCTGGATTCTGGAACAAAATTATATTGTAAAAACAGTTGACATGCATTTCAATAATTTCTGTCATACACATATATACATACATATAGCTACGATCTCAATTTCTATACAATTAGGAAACAACCATAGCCCAGTCTTTTATTATATCTATTTAAAGTACGAAATTCGATAATTTAGTAAAAATAGATAATAAAAAAAGATTAAATTTCAGATTCCAATCCAAACGACGTTCTTAAAATAGTTGCACTATGCGGGAGTCGACGATACACGTGTCCTCTATCGACCTGCCTATGTCAATAACCTCATCTGTGGTCAATTGGTCATGTTTTCTCTTACCCTCCGGCATAAATAAGTACTCGAATCAGTCTCGGAAACTTTAAATATTGACAATAAGTATAATATTTACCTGCAACATGTGCTGCCCAAATAGCTTGACGTAATATAATTGTTTTCGGAGTGTGGTAATGAGCAACGTTTCTTGATTAGGATCGATTGTGATATGCTGTATGGCATCTAATGTTGACCACTGAGGATGCTCGCGAGTGTGTCTGAATAATTTAACATTCATTAATTATTTTACTTCGTAAGTTTTTTTTTTTATAACTCTCACGTTGTACATATATTTTAAGAAAGAGGACTTAACGCGATAAGACATAATCCTATAAGGTTGTATGAACCTTTTAAAACATATTACGAACTGACTCATGAATAACAATGTCACGATTCCGCTACAAATACCAAGAGTGTATTCTTTTGTATACTACTTATTAAGTACATATTTTGTGCATTTCTAAGTTTTTTACCTACAACACTGATTGTGTGTCTCTATATTGTACGCATTGGTGTATTTGCGATTATTTTCCAAATACACCTTTGCACGTGGCTAAAAGCTCTGTTCGCACCATGAAATGAATACCAGGCAATTCTAGACTAAAACACCCATTAAATACATCTATGAAGTATATTATACATGCACCAGTTATACAATATAGGAACTATAGAGAGGTAATGTTTTTTGTTTCACCTGGTTCCACGACGCAGTTTGAATTTTTTTATACCACCCAGGTGGCAAACAAGTATACCGCCCACCTGATTGTAAGCGGTTACCGTAGCTTAGATGTTAGCTAGCTTGAATCCGTGGTACCGTTCAATCGTTTCTCATATATAAATGACGTTTAGTAGAAAGATTTTTTAAGAACATTATCTACTAGATTGCGTCAATATCCGTCTCTTAAAAAACTTTTTTTTTAATAAATATTAAGTGCAAAATATAAAAACCATACTTATAGGATTTTTTCGAAATTCTAAAAACATTTCGTTTCCTCCAGTGATGTAGCGTTTCTTTTTCGAACATATGAACGTAGCCTGGACCGCAACCAAATGCAAACCCTGTAATTGGTGTCACAATTATATTATTAAAATATATACCAATAAGAATTTATACAAATAATGCTTAATATCATTATTCACCTTTCGGAAAGTTGACAAAGCAAGTAACAGGGTAACTCTCTTCTAATACAGTAGGTTCGCTTGTAGTATCTTGTTTACTTGTAATACTTGCTTTTTCGCTTTCCTCAGTTCTATAAATTTTATTACATATACATAACTATTATTAAAATAAAATAAAACTGTATCTATTTATTGAATCATTGCATAAAATTACATGTTATTTAATATAATAATCAATAGAAATAAAAGTAGGTACCTAGTGTTAAACTAGGTACTTTTATTTCCACATTATTCATGTGCATTTTATTAGCTATAAAAAAGAAAACTAACATAGCGTTTTATAGGTAATGTGCAAATTTATATATTCACTTTACTGTAATGCCCTTGACTAATTTATGAGTAAATAAAAAAATGATGATCGTTAGATACATTTTGATCATCGTCGATAAAGTAGATACAAAACAATAAGATAAGAACAAAGAAGCTCTGAGCTTCAAATAAACTTCCGAACATCTGTAAAAATTGTCGAATTCTTACTCAGCTTCAACTTTCTTCAGGGATATTTCCATAACCTCTGCGGCTCTGAAGATACAGTTTTGTCTGAGTTCCCCGTTTTCCACAACCATTATGGTACCATCGTCTGTCCCAATTATGATGCGGTCCGAAGTTAGCCACATGCAACTAGTTATATTGATCTAGACGAAAATGAAATAAAATTTTTTTTTCAAGTACCTATAATATAAAACTTATTAGATGAGGGAGACTTTGTACAAAAGTCGATTCCTTGGGTACCTCTGTCCCATTCGTTTTCAACCGTGAAGCAGTTGTGTTTTCATGGCTGTGTTTCGGTTTGAAGGGTGGGATATGGTGTGAATTTACAGGGTACAGAGGAATAACACCTGAGTCCTCAGGAATGGCAACGCATGGGGGGTATCATGGGCGAAACAGTATACTCTGTTATGTCCAGGGTACTGCTCATGTCTATAGGCGACGGTTACCACTCGTCCATCGGTTCCATCAGGTGGGCCGTCAGCTTGTTTGCCATTCTAAGTGGTATAAAAAAAAAAGATTTTTGCTATTGTCTCTACAAATATAACTTTCATATGAGTCTCGCTAGTGTCGTCCTTAACGAAAATAAATTATGAATAAAGAAACATGTTTGCCCTATTTGATGGCAATATTCATCGTTTATATATTCTCCATGTTTCATAATAACCTTTCTAGTTAGCATTCTATCATTATTTGGATAATTTGCATTAATAGTGTCAAAATGAGATAATAATTTGGTATTTTGCACCATCAAATAATGTGCGCTGGATTGAAATCCATGGTTCGTGCATTGTGCTAAGTTGTGACCCACATCGACTCTTTGCATTTAGAAATTTTTATAACGTTTCTTTTTTCTTTTTTTAATATCAATAGTTAGTAATTTTTATTTATTAATTAGTTATATCTCACAGCTTTGATCGCATAAATTAGAATCAAAAGTATTTAGTGTGTATTGAAGGCTAGTTTATGCGTATACCAAATTTCATTCGTCCAGTTCTCTAAGCGTACTGCGGAATCAAGTAAGTATAATCCATATATTTATACGTTAAATCGACTGTGTAGTAACTTCATAGTTATGGTTATTTATAATAGTTATACATTTGTTCGAAAATAAATATAAAACATACATTTTCAGCTTTACACCATCCCCACTGACGCCAGACTGTTTCAGAGACATTCATTATACGAAATGTGTAGGGACCTGTAATTACAACAAGCATTGCATCTGTAGGATTGCATTGTACCTGAAAAATTAATAAATAGTCAAATGTCTTATGTAATATCAAATTACCAATTAAGCCTATTGTTCTGATTTGGACACATGACATAAGACAAGAGGATAAATGATAGACAATTGTGTATGTAAACAGGAAGAGCGACTGGCCAAGTCCGCCATATCAATATCAATCTATAAATAACATATGGTACATATAGATACAACGCACAACGATCAAAGTAGCATTGCAATATTCTAAATTAGGAACATTAGAAGATTAGTTATATTCAGAATGCCAAACAAATTGATGGAAAACCACTGTTTTTATGATTTAGTTGTTTGTTTATTTAGTTGCCTATTAACAACAATCTCTGACATATGAAGAATTATCATGATCATAAACATTTATTCTTACAGTATTGTACTCGTACTTGTAGTCTTTAAAAATGGGAATGAATAAAGAGTCTATGGGTAGTATTGTATATTCCATGACGTCCCATATCTAATGAAGCTGTAGTGTTTATTGATCACGGCTATAGGCGATAGTTAGCTACGACATTCCAATAGAGCCCTTCTGCTAAATGGAGCATCGATAGAATACTTCTGTTATGACATGAAACTCAACAATCATTGTTGCGTATTTACTATACGCTGCTAATTTAATTCATCAGCTTGTTAGAATATAAAAGTATCGATGGTATTATAATGTTCTGTTCAATAATAATTGTTTAGGCATTCAGTAGTTATATTTTATGTTTTATGTGTACAGATCTAAATCAATTTGCCTATACTAACACTTTCAACTATTCCTTGTCCACTTGGATTCTGAGCTTTGGCATGACTTTCAACCTTCCCTTTGTCCCAATTGTAATAATACAAGTACCAATCTGGTTCGCCTGTTATCGCTACAAGATACTTAGAATCGAAAGTGAATTGAACACATGCAAATTCCCTTGCTGTGGAGTTCTCAAATGGGACTGTCAGAATCTTACGCCTTTTGTACGTTGTCAGATCATAAATGGTTATTATTGGCTTTTGTCCTTCTTCGGCTATTTCGTTTAATGCTAACCACCGTCTGAAAAACATATGAATCCAGAAATATTATAAGATATTTTCTAGAATCTAGACCATATTATTCTGAATGGATCATTGAATGTGATGAAACGTCCCAAAAAAAGTCAGCTACCTGATAGATAACGGATATTTTGTTAATTCCATTAATATTTCTATTTATGTAGTTTAATAAAAACATTACATTCCCATTATAAAAAAAAAAATTACTATATTATAACTATATTTCGTCAGATTTTGCAAACAATTGTTGCAATATGAATTTTATATTGTTGAATAGGCCACCCCTTCCTTTTCCGTGGGTGGGCTACAAAGGAAGAGCGAGGGATGAGCAGCAGCATTCCTCTTAAAACATCTCTAAAGCCTGACTGCCGTTGCTAATCCACCTGCCAAGTGTGGCAACTACTGGCAAAACCCCCCAAGGGGGAGACTTATGTTCAACAGTAAACAGTTAAAGGTTGATATGATGATAACTATATTTATATTGTTATTTTTTATATTAATTAGTAAAACTATATATATATATATATATATATATATATATTTATATTGTATATATTATATATACAAAATATGCGATTTTTTAGTGTTACAAATAATAATTATAATTAGTATCCATATTTATAGACGAATCGCGAAATTATACTTATGATTTACGATGGAAAACTAATTATCTGTGTACTAACTATATCACCCGCGCGAATCAGTACACAAACTATCCTGTGTTATGTTAAGATGTAGCCCATCTGTGTGTCATCTATCCATCCATCTTCACAAACTTTTGCATTTATAATATTATTAATAGAATTCAAAATTTAGATAAAGCTTACCTATTCGGCGCTAATACTAAAGACTTTATAGGTTTATGTTTATCTTGCAGCCTGATAAATTTCTGCTTCTTCTGCAGATGATTATGAATTACAATGACTCCTCCAGCTGGGTAAATAATTTCAGATTCCGACAAGTAATGAGCATTATATCTATAACAGAAATATAATTTTAGAATAACGATGTTCCTGCATAAGTAGGTTATTATGTTAAAATATAATACATTCATCCAAAATTTTTTGACGTTAAGTATGTTGTAAAGATATGCCTTAGGTATATATAATAGGTAAATAAATTTAAAAAGAGGACGTAGAAAAAAGGATCCAGAGAGGTGATCCCATTGCAAACAAGAACAGAGTTGGTTATGGATTGACAACCTCAAAATAGAAGAAAGCATCATAAAAATCATCAGTATCAGCCTACTGCAGTCCACTAGCTTCATTCTTCACTTCACTTCATCGCGCGATCTTCACAGGTATTATATAGTTGTTTATAAAAATAATAAAGATGAAAAGGAATATTATGATATTCATCTGGTTATCTCACAAGACATTAATTATAATTATCATGCCAGTCATTAATTATAATTAATTATAACGAAGCAAAGATTTTAATGTTTATAGTACCTATATAGGTAACTTACTGAATATCAGTTCGAAGGCCATAAAATATTCGCGCAGAAATATTAGGTGGCGCTGAAGCCATGATTATTATAAAAACTATAGTATTTAGCAATTACATAAACAAGAATTATATGGTTGCACAATAATAAATTAAATTATAAAATAGTATGTCTTAGGGAACACTCGCTTTGTATGAAATCAAAAATTATGCCGTTGCTATGGTAGCTGTTACTTTTGTTTAAAGGTCAAATAATGAAGTTCGTTCAATAGCAACCGGTGAGTATATTATTTTTAAATGCTTACATTTAAAATATAGATCATAGTTGTTATTCTAATAATTTAAAAATTATCTAAGGTTCAAAGTAGGTACATTTATCTGAGAAATCATAGTACGATAGGGCTAATGGGCTAATATACTTAGAAAAGTCCTAAAAGTTTAAATAAAGAAATAAAGTACTTATTTACTATGTAGATTGATATGTACTCGTAAAAGCTATCTATATGAACAAAATTTATTTAAAATTAATTCTGTATTCCGCAATGAAACCTAAGATAGAAAGACACAAATCCATATTTAAAAACGTATCTATTTATATAGATACTAAATGTCTTTTACGGTTGCGTCCGCACAAGCCTATGCTATTTTCTGTTCCTGTCCTATGATGATTTTAAGAAACACCATAATTAAACTAACAATGCCAGAGGAATCATCTGTACGTTGCCAGCCTTTAAAAAGGTATAAATACTCTTCTTGAAGGGATTCCCTAAGTCGTGTTTGATCGAACACGCCGCTGCATTTATTCCTATTGAAACAGCTAGCAAACTGAGCATTGTATACATGTTGTCACAGACTTACTAACTAGGTAAGTATGACACTTTTACGGGCGATTGTCATTTAACCGCGCTCCACCTGATTGCTGCTCAATGTCGCTTGTCGCATCCGCTATGCAATTTCCGAGATAAGTCGCAGCTTCCTTCGACAATGCGGCTTCAATTGCAGATTTATCATCTTTATGATAATATGAAAGCAATGTAACTAAAAATAAAATATGATTTTTTTTTTATATTTTTTCATATTTTATTTATTTTTTCAAGAGATACATTTGATTTTGTTACGTATAATAATGACCTAAATAAGAGGCCCACCTATCAATATTGCCTCAATTTATGAGTTGAAATTAAAACATTGTGCATATTGTACTACTTATTGTAATAGATTAATATTAATCATAATAAATCACGATATACACAGCATAATATACTTATTTATTCTTAAGTGATATATGACAGGTTAAAATTTTGATAATATTATTTGGCGACACGCTGAAGAAGGACCAAATTAAAAGTAGCCGTAACCGGCGAGCATGTATGAAAAGATCGATGAATATGGAGGAAGCGAAAGAGGCTTGTTTGTATCAAGGCATTCGGCGTTCTATTGTTTCTGTCTACCCTAATGGGAGACAGGCGTGACAGATACGTATTATTTGTTCGTAGCCGATTTCCATGTAGGTAAATGTTCATATATATTCTTTATGTAAGATTATATTTCCTTGTCTTCCACATTCTAGGCAAAGTTTAATGACGCTAAGAGGTCATGCTAACAAATTAATTATTGTGCAATCTAGGTAAGTACAATTATGAGACTAGTGAAATCTAAAATACTTAATTTGACCCACTTTACTAAATGCTAATTCCTCGGTCTGGTTTTATGCCTCACTTTATTTGTACAGTTTGAAGAGAGATACTTTCTCTTTTGTTCACAGTTAAAACAAAGCGTACTTGATCAATTCCTCTTGTTTTTATCATTGAGCTATAAATAGTTTGTTTACTTTTATTAAAATGAATTTAACCTAAAGGTGACTAATTTATAAACAACAATGACTTCTATCAGTTAATTGCATGGGTATCCCTATCTCACTCATGTCTCTGTCAAGGGGAAAGCGATTATCGGTAATGGGGTTAAACGGCCTCATTGCTAGCAATATACCTTATCAGATCGACCTCCGCGTGGTCCCCGTAGAGACTATCACGATGAATTTGTCAGACACATATGTATGTGTCATCGTGTTTCTTCCAACTGACCAATCTTTATGTTTCTTTGTCATTCTTTACTAACCCCGTTAGCGTATACCAATATATTTCATATTAAATAAAAAAAATGTACTCGTAGTTATAAAACCAACACGCCAACATAGTATTAATCAATAGATAGCTTTCTATTAACCAGTGACCCAATCAATGAATTGGCGATATTGTAACAAAGTCTACTTATGTACAATTGATGGCGCAATACACTTCCCGCCGCCCGCGGGATTAGGATAGGAATAAAAGAACATTTGTTTGTTTTCAACCAATGTCAATACGTGAGAGATTTTTAAACTAATTGTATATTTTTGTTTCTATGTAGACTTGCAAAATATACCTATTATAATCCGTGTAAGTTATGAAATGAATTTAACTATGTTTTTATTTGACGCAATGTATAGCGTGAACTACTTACTTTAAACTCATCTTAAGATGTGATAGTGTTATAGACTATGTCGCTATAAAAAAAGAGATGCCCTAAATTGTCAAAAACAAATTTTAGTCAAGTTTCTTCTCAGATGGCTTACTATTTGTTAGTCACCTTTCCATTTAAGTACGACTGGAAAAAAACAATGAAGTTAAATACACTTTTGATTATCATGCAGGTATTACAGTATATAGGTACTTATGACAACCCAATTTCAAGTAGGTACAAAAGAAAAGTGTGAGTAAGCCGTTTTAAGTTTATTGTTCGTCATCACACTGCAGACAGTGTAGGCTCCCTGCCAAGTCAATAACTAAATTAAGCCATTTGTTTATCTGCAACATAAAATAATTTAATTTTTTTTTTGTAGACTAAAAGTTGCACAAAATAATCGTCTTTAAATACAATTACCACAGTTAAAACTCGTTAATTCCTTTTGTAATTACTATAAATTCAGCAAACTGTTTATTAAAGATATCGAGTGCCACGAAACACTTAAAATTTTATTTATTTATTATTTATAAAAAAGTGTAGGTACTCAAATTTTTTAATTCAGCTAGCATTATATTAATACTAAAATACTAGAATTTTATTCGTCCATAGTATTTATTAAAGTATAACTAGGTTAGTTATACCTAATGCAGACAATGACTCGTATGGCAAATTAAATGAACCCTTTTGTTTTTATAAGGTGCATTGTTTTGTTGCAAAGTTTCTATAGTCACCTTCAAGCTTAATTAACAGACCAGAGTCATAATATCATATTACATTGTCGCCGAAATTGCTTGTATATCTATGTATAACCAACCTATTTAAAAAGCTTTAATGGCATTTGAAAAATATATTATGACGATCGCAGTCCAAGTTGTGTCAGTATCATCACAAAATAACTAATAAATAGTCCAGCAGAGCATTTAATTTGTGAAGATAACTAAGGAAACCATTTCTGGTACGTGTCTTTTTATCATTCGATTTGACAGAGAAGCAGCAAAAGCACAGTACAATATACTAACTTGCGTCACTGTAATCGGGTGCAGTTGCGTAGTTAGATGAACATTATTTTTTTATACAAAACTTAGGCAGCGTTATATTTCACGACTATTATTGATTGGATCGACTACATTGTAATTTGTCTTAGCAAATAGCATGCCGGATTGTCGGACATCGCCTTCGATCGATATTCTTAGTTTTAAACTTGCCTCTAAGTTTATAGGTGCATAATGAAAAAGCGGTAGAACCTGACATCGTGAGACGCTACTGGACAGAGGCCTCTCCCATAGCCTGCCATTAGGAACAGTCCCGAGCTACCTGCATCCACTAACTCCCTGCAATGCATTTGAGATCGTCACTCCATCTAGTGGGGGGTCATCCTACATTTGCCTGTACGGGGTCGCCACTCAAGAACCTTTCTTCCTCATCCATTGTCAGCTTTCTATTAAACCAGCTCGAATTACTGTACAATAATTCATGTTGATGTGTCCAACAAAATCAGCATGATAACTTTTTAAATATAGTTTGTTTTAATAGAACTTAATAAAAAAGTTATCCAATTTTCTTGAGAATCATTCAATTTAATCGATTTTTAATTTGTACTACTACTGGACATCAACAATCTGTCTTATGTTCAGGCCAATTATTATTTTGTTTCCATTTTTATTAAATTTTACTAAAATCATGCCTATAATAGATGTAAATTATGAATACCAACAAAAGAAAAAAACTAGCCAACGGACAGTGGCACATGTATGCATACGAAAAGCCTTATTTTCCTTTTAAATAACTTTATACAAAGATTTGAATGTATTGTAAAAAAAGTTTTAAAACTGTTTTAAATTTTCTTTAATAAAAAAAAAATAAACGAAACTATTGTTGTATTGTCTAGGGTAAATCGATAATAGCTACCAAAGTATGCTATGATACAGTGTTATTTTTGGTAGCGGGTGTGGTGGTCCCACCTTGTTGGCGTGTTTATAGTATTTATAAATACAAGCTATTGTCAACCATATTTAGTGTTACCATACAATACAAAATACCAGTTTACACGAATTCGTGATACACATACGGTATCTACTGTTTCTTTATTCACTAAAAATCAAAGACATTTTACGTCAGATCCATTCTAGTACGATAGAGGCCGTAATATTATTGTTTTGCTTGTTGTTATTCTTTTTATTATTTTATGTACTACAGAAAAGGCCTAATTACCTAGTTCTCAAACTGAAATAATGTTAAATTAAAAATTATTGAAAATAGAGGAAAACATGGAACTTCTTATATTTTATTAATTTTTTTTTATTACTCGATGTAGATTCTAGATACACACGTATCAAAAGATTTCATTTGCGCAAAACTAGGAGTACCAAGAGAGTACATGAATATATTATATCCTTTTACCAGTTGTCAGATTTGGAATTTCATATTATAAAATACCACGTACTTCATAATTGATGAAGTTGACACTACACTTCTAATGTACTTCAAGGCGTGATTATATTTTCCAAAGTTTACACGACCTTCGCCTTTCTGCGTGTGACGCAGCCCGTCATAAGAATGGCGTCATCACCAGACTTTAGCAAACATACATAAACTGGACTATTTATGTCGTACCATTTATAAAACTTATATCATATCCACATTTGGAAAGTTGTAAATCGTATTTCCTTATGGAATATTCAGATATTCTGTATAGAGCTCTAATTAAAGGAATGTCCTTGCTAAACATAGGTGATGTGAAGAACGAACGTGTCTTGATTTAAGTAAGTAATCTAAATAAAACATGGAGAATCGTTTTTAATTACTTTAATTAGATATTTACGTTTATGAATAAAATAGTCAAGTAGAAAATCACTTTTATTTTGACATCGTTCTAAAAACACCGTCTAGAAATTTCATCAAGGTACAGTTGCCCTATCCCTGTAACCTGCACTGTTTATTCTCGCAGTATGAATAAATATGTAATGCGGTAAGATGCTCTTTGGCGGCCGTGACGTGAGTCAGTGGCAGACGTGGCAGTGGATGGTGGTGGCGGTGGCGCGTGAGGGAGCTAGCGATATGTTCGATGGCTGAATCGACTAGTTTGCCTCAACTCGCGACGCCGAACACCACGACGCTGCGTATCTTTCGGCCTCATATACTCGCGCAAAACAAACACCGCAATTATCGTTGATAAAATGATACAACGTGTTATCTACAACGATATCTAACTAACCAAAGTGATAACTGATAAGCTGCGGAGTGCTTGACTGTGTATTATGTAAAAATCTGTAGTGATCCTCAGGAGACGCAATTATGGCTACCACTGCAGGTCCTCGCAAGACGATTTCTATTTACAACTACCCTGACCATTTGAACCCCTTTCGGGAAGAGGACAACCACAACAAGATCAGATTTTGGACTATTAACAGCAAACTCAAACGTTCTAATAGCATCAGTTTCTCTGGACTTAAGGACTTCAGAAACTCATGGTAAGTTTACTAATATACTTAGATTATAATATACCTTAACTTCATTGTAATTATATATTCTAAATCGTGACTCATAATTTCATGACTATTACATTTTGTAAACATACTGCAATTTTAGGTTAAAAATGATCAATCTATGTTGTATAATCCGAGACTATTTTTTTTTTAATTAATCAGTGATAATTACTAATTTATTCAATTTAGATTTAAAAATACTGTTACGATTGTTAGCAGGAAAAGGTAATCTAGACGACAACTCTTTGATATATCATTTAAGAACAATTAGACACGTACAGAAATAATTATTATATGGTTTAATAGGTAAACTTTATCTTAAAATGATAACAAAACAGATCCTTTTGTTGATCGACGTCTATAAACGGATGTAACGGTGGCAGTAGTACGATCGTTCTTGGATATTAGGTTTGAAGGGTGGGATATGGCGTGAATTTACTGGGTACAGAGGAATAACACCTGAGTCCTCAGGAATGGCAACGCATGGGGGGTATCATGGGCGAAACAGTGTTATGTCCATGGTACTGCTCACGTCTATAGGCAACGGTTACTACTTTCCATCAAGTGGGCCGTCAGCTTGTTTGCCATTCTAAGTTGTATAAAAAAAAATTACCGTATCTCATTGCCACTTCCGGTGTTTGAAGATTAAGTTTTTGTCAGGAGATTAAAAGTGCTACGTTTTATGAATCTTAATATGGTTTATTTATATAATGGCCTCTTACGACATCCACGGGAAAGAAAGGGGTGGCCTATTTGATACCAGGACCACATATTATTTATTTACTTCGTCAGAAATACTAAAACTCGAAATAAAACTACAAACCAAGCTGGTAATAATAGGCTAATATGCTATTCATTTGGGGGGAAATATCATACTAAACAGCAGCAAAATAAATTAGTTGTTATGGTCATTTATCTTCCCACTGTTGTGTTATATAGTAAGTATTTATTGACGGATTATATTCATAGTCATTATCCATTAAGTGGAGTATAAACTAATTAAGTACGTAAAATACAATTTGTCTCTCAAATTAGCAATGACTTCTCTATTAAACTACGTCTGAACCTATCAGAATGGCATTAGGTACACGGATAAACAATATTATAACTTAACTCAGAGGTCTTTTTATTGTAAATCACGAGATTAAAACCGCTAAATGCAGCAAGTAAAAATAATAAAGTTAGTATAACCAATATAAACTTTGGGGTAAAATCAAACTTAGTATCTACTGTCTAGACAGAGTGGCGCCCTACCGCTAGAATTTAACTAATGCCAGTAGAGGGAAAAGGCATTGTTAGTAATGGGGAGTAACAACCCAGCAAACTAGCAAGTGGACCTCCTCATGGTTCGCCTGGAAACCATCGTGATTGATTCATTGGTGAATTTGTCACGATGAGCTAACTGACCTGCTTCATCTTTATTTATCATGCCTCACTGGTGCTTCGCTAGTGTATCAAGTACCGATATCGCAGGCGAGGTTACTATTTCATTATCATTCGTTGAAAAAAAAACAACGTTAGTAACTGAGAACAAGACTTTTCTATGTGGAGATGTTATTATATACTAACGTCGTTAAATATAAAGAGTATTAAAAAAATATCCTCTGATACTAACTTGACACGTGAGCGCGTAAGTGAGACTCATAATCTTTTACCGTTTTTCACGTTTCTGAGAGAAAAATATTGAGTTTTACTTACAGAACACACCCTTAAGAAGATGCTCGTGATTCCTATTTTACCCTGTATGTGCTTTGCAGATAGGTAAACCATACAAAATGATGATAACAAATTTGACAACATTTGATAATAAATTTGATCAACATTTTTAATAAAGTTTCGTTAGAAAAGCAAACGAATTCATTCAAACTAAAACAACCTAAAACTGAGAGTAAATAATCTGATACTTCTAATGTTATCTAAGTTATTTAAGTGATCTATGACTAGGCAGATAGGAACTTACGTGACGTAAACATAAAGAATAGAGACGATAGCTCATCAGAAAGGTGCAAGAAGATTTGTAAAAAATATATGTAGAAAACCAAGATGACTGAGGATGAAAATAATAAATTTGATAACACATAGAACCGTTCCATCCCAAATTAAGTAGAGCTTGTAGTATATACAAAGCAAGCAGCAGTCAGTCTGGGCTTGGCCCTTTTTTTTAATAATAATAGTAAATCTCATGTTATCTACTCACCGATAAATATGCTCTATGATATAGATGAAAGAATTTTTAAATCATTTGAATGGTTAAAAATGTTACTAATTTTTTAATTAATACATTACAGACAAAAATCAAATTTTTCCTCAGTTTAAACATATCTATTTATAGTCATAAACTTGATGGTTTATAGGTAGCAAGACTGAATGGTAGGTATCTACCTGATGTTGTCAATCGTTATAAATAGCATTGAAATCATGACTGCTTCGTGCGTTATTATTAAAATAAGTACGTGATTGATATTTTATTTAAAATTATGCGTGCTTAGAATGGCGTACAAAATAACGTACATTCTTGACTTAACCGCTGACTCTAAAACAAATATGTCATACGAATACCTAGTCCATGAGTAAATCATATAGCCGCACCAATATTTGGTCACTCTTTGATAATACGATCGCCGTGTGGTCCCGGTATAGAATAGGCGTCTTCCTTTCCCGTGGGTGTCGTAAGAGCCGACTAAGAAAGGACGAGGGATGGGCAGCAGGGACCCTCTTAAAACATCTACAACTGCGGTTGCCAATACGCCTGCCAAGCGTGGCGACTAATGGCCAACCCCTCAAAAGGCAGGCTTATGTTCAACAGTGGACAATTAAAGGCTAATATGGTATGATGATAATGGTGATACGAAGACCAACTCTACAAGAAACTCCAAGCAGCTTCGAAAGTCAATCTTTCATTCCATCATCGAAACGAAACCGATATTTTTTGTGAAGATTTTCTATTATTATAATAACCCAGTGACTAGGGAGGATATTACGGAAAAATCAAATATTCCTTAGATATGGAGAAAGGAGGGAGAGAAGATATTGTTAATAATAAAGATTAACGACCCTATTGGTAAAAATATAGCACTAATTTTATTGGAATTGTAATCTCGCCTGCTCCATCGGTGTACGCTAGGTGGACCTCCACGTGGTTTCCCCTGGAAACCATCGCAGTTTATTATTTACGTATTGGTCACGATTACACAACTAATCTGCTGTAAAAAAAAAAGAACATAAAAATTAATTTTAACGTGACTGCGATTACAGAAACACATAGGTAACCTCGTTTTCCTATAAAATGTTATGAAAATGGAAGAAATACTGCTATGCAATGCAATGATAATAAGTAGACAAATAAATATGACGAAATATAATTGTTCCGTTATTGTACGTATTTTTGAGACTCTATAAATTAAATATATTCACAAAATTACAATAACGTATCAATATGTCTTATGTTTTCAATGTTAATAACACTTATTTGATAATTTGAGAGAAAAGAGATTTTTCTTATGCGTACCGTTAAAAAAATTTACCATCTATTTAAAAAAATCACCATTATAACAAGTAAGATAAGTATGTTGTTATAAAAGGCTTTGTTTCTTAAACGACCTTGCAAAACAAATGTCTTATCTGTATAGGTTTGTATAGTATCAGGTAAGTAGGTCTGTTGCAGGTCTAAGTACTCACAATCATTATCAATTTTTACTTAAATCTATTCCGTTTATCGAAACTGGGTGTATTACAATTGCGGTTCTGTTACGGTAACCCACTTAAGAGTTCAGCACACTTGTAGGTGATTTCATACTTTTACCACCTATTAAATCCAAGGTAATTAATACCTACTAGTTAATTAATGAGCCCGTATTACTTTACGTATAACTCATCGAAAAATCTGATAGTGTAGGATTATAAAACACAGTTACAGCACGTATCTACCTGCCATTAATATATGATTATATCTTACCCATCTATCATCATTGATTGTGGATTGTTGTGGATGATCTATCAATGATTCAATAACTGACTAAAGTCAAAGACAGTTCGACCTCGACGCAGACACTCTGAAAACCATCGTCGTTAGTTCCTAGTCAATTTATTTAATCCATAACTTGTGCTATGCGATTATATCCCGTTAACATAGGCTGCTGTATCGTACGATTTTTATTAAAAAAAAAATCTCTACGTACACTACAGAATAAGTATGTGCATATATTAATTAAGAAACAACATTTTCCTTATTTTATATAAGTATCTATATATTTTATATGTATCTAAGTAGATAACCTTCTAATAAAAGCATCATAGTCCGCACCAAGATGCTTCTATCCAAAAATCAACCACTTAGACCATTTTTTTAAACATATTCTGTACCGAAAAGCAAATGAATTGATTGATGCATTATGGATTGAAATAAAGCGGAATTCGGAACACAGTTGTGTGTTACATATAACTGCATATAGATATTCTAGTGTAGGTACCAAATTTTGGCTTTAAATTAGATCCAATAGAGTCTTAATTATTGAATGATTCTGATTAGGAATCTCTACTGAAAATAAATGTCCAAAAGAGTGTAAAGTTTATACATCACATGTAATATTATGAAAGGGCTTAATGCAACAGCAAAAATGTCCTTTATTTTATTAATTTAGTAGTGACACTATCACTATAATCTATATCTATACCAGCACTCCTTACATTTTCTGGTTGAGGCGGACCTGTCAAAAGACGTTTATATAATTAGATAATGTGAACAGAATGCATTGCATGCACTTAACTTCCTCTGATTGTTTTAACACAAACATTCGCTTTCTTCACAATCCTAAACTTTTGTCTGACAGACAAATCTTAATGTTTTCTTTATTGAACTTAGAATGACAAACAAGCTGAAGGTCCACCAAATAGAAAATGGTAATCGTCGCTTATAGACATGAATAGCAATGTTGTTATATATGTATTAATACGAGCAAATAATAATATCACACATGTAATTTCCA